TGTTGGCCAGCACACATGACCTCCTGAGCCCCGCCAGCAGTGGGGACACTCTTCAGAGTGTGCAGAGGCCCCCCAAGGAGGCCTTGCTCCTTGCTGAATCAAAGGTTGAATGCTTCATCACAACTATCATGCTCAAAGCTGTCGTTTCTAGAGTCTCTTCTGGGTTTGTTCTTAAAGCTGATGCTGGTCTGTCTGCTATTTCTTTCCTCTGCCTTTGTCCTAGTGTTGCACACCCAGGTCGTAGGAATAATAACTATAACATTTATTTACTTAACAGACACTTAGCACTTAATTTGTAGCATTCACTGTTTTAAGTGCTTTCCAAATACTAGCCCATCCTCAGAGGTAGGTACTGTTATTCACTTACCCCTCGGGAAACTGAGGCACGCAGGGATTAAGTAACTGGCCCAGGCTTGCATAGCCCATAAGGGAAGAATCCGCCTCTGGAGCCTAAACCCTTTACCACATCGTTGTTCTTGCTGAAATATTAACAAGAGCTAACATTTCCTAAGACCCAGGCATGCGCCTCCATGTCCCTGTGGGAGGGGGTGGTCAGCCCCACCCTGCAGACTGCGGCAGAGCTTCACCCTGGCAGTCTCCCCCAGCTACCATTTTGCCTCCAGAGTCAGGAATAGCTGGGTTCCCACAGGATGTTTTTTTTTTTTTTTTAATTTATTAATATACATTCGTTCTCCAGTGAGAGGCTATTGTAAGATTTCAAGAAATGAAGTTGAAAATCCTTTTTCATTAATTAGTGTGGAGAACACATCCCAGAAATTGCCACCTCTTCCTCTCCCGCTTTTCCAGAGGTGTTCAACACTCAGGGCAGACCAGTGTCTGGAAGCTACCTGCCAGGCTTTACTGCTGGGGAAAGCATCAGCAATTAAAGGACCTGGTTCCAGAGTGATGGCTCTTTTTTATTCATGGTATTCCTGTAGTCAAGAGATCTAATCCCGACACCCGCCCCCCACCACCCCACCTTCTAACCTGCCTTCCCCTCTCTCCCCCTGCTTTTAAATTGGAACTACTGGTTCCAGGCAGTGAGAATGAAAATAAATGAGCTGTGAATGAATTGTCTCTGCTCCCTCCCACCCTCACCCCCTGAAATTGCAATTTAATAACGAACATTCAGCCTCTATGTAATGTGTTTATCTCCCCTTAAAGGAACAGACCTGTAGGGGAGACTGGGAAGAAGCATAGCAAAACATCTGGGTGGTAAACTCAATCTCCATTTGAAGTGGTCTTGGGATGAAAATGTAGCCCTTAGGATAAGTTTGCTTCCCCTTCTAACAGGGCTGGTCTTAGCTGGATCTGTGCTTCTTACACAGGGTCGTAGAGAAATACTTGGAAAATCGTTCCCCCTGGAGATGTTAAAATAAGTTATTCCTTACCATGTCACCACTCACCCTAAGAGTTTGTGTGAAATCACTTAAATTGCTGTACCTGATGCTATTGATTAGGCTGTCTGAAGAGGGTCTCTTTGGATGACTCTGGTCACAATCCCCAAGGCAGGTCTCAGATGAGTGTCCCTGATCTTCCTACATGCTGTTGAATTTAAGAGGCATTGGCAGCAGCAGCTTTTACCCTCCTGGAAGCACCTGGACTTCCCACTGAGCCTGGTCTCTCGATCACAAGTCATAGTGCAGGAGGACCTTGCTGACTAGCAGAGTGGTACATACCCAGGGGGCAGAAGTTTCCCTTCCCCCCACCCCCAGGTCACAGGGAATTCATTCAGTGAGAATTCGAGGGCAGGTGGGCAAGAAGTAGTGAAGTTGTACCTATTTATATGGTATAAACAACATTTATAACAGTAAAGGAAATGAAATTGTTTCCCACATTCCCTCAACTAAATATATATTTATTGTCTCTGTTTCCTTCCATCCTTTGTCTAATTGTATAAATGTTTTTTTTTCCAGTGGCATAGTGTTGATGGCATTTTTGTTGTGGTCCTTCATTTAACATTTCATCAGATGTATTTCATGCTCCAACATGGTTTTATAATTATATAATGACTACATTATGATGTGTTATTATACTTTATGCCCCATTGTTTTTAAATTGTTTTCAATATTTTACTTTTACCATCAGAAAGCATATGAAATTGGGTCAGAAAGCATGAACATTTTCATGGCTTTTGATACATAAAGTCATTTCCTTTACTAAAAAGTAATATTCATTTGTATTGTTTCCAATAACATCAATAGGTCTATTTTATTTTCTTTCCAAAACAGGCCTATTTTAAATCATAACCTTATTGGTAATAGGAGTCATATCTTAAATACTTGGCTAATTTAATGGGGACAAAATGATTGCTTGGTTTTAATTTATGCATCTCTGATTGCTACTGAAATGAACCTTTCCCCTTATTTAATTGGGTTGCCTCTTATGTGAATTGTCTGTATTCTTTGCATATGTGCTGGAGACTTGGCATTTTTCTTACAAGTTTATATAAATAACCAATACCTCCCAAGGGCAATCAAATTAATCCTTTAAGTTTAAACATGGGAATGAAAAGAAACTGCAAATATAAATTTAACATGCACTACATAAACACATGTCTAAGAAAAATAATATCAAATTTTATCTGATTATTTAGTGCCAGGCACAATTCTAGGCATTTTTACCCAGCTCTGTGAAATATGTACTACTTTATTCCCATTTTATAAATGGAGAAACTGAGGCAAAAGAGATTAAGAAATTTGCTCAAGCTCAAACCCAGTAGGTAAGCCTGGGTTCAGAAACCTACTTTATTTGTTTCAGGTGGACTGAATAGATTTCATTTTAGGGTGTTTCCAACTTACATGCTGAATGATGAATTTTCACCATTTTGGGTGCTGCAATAATATGAGCATTTAAGTCATTTGGTCTGTTGGTTGAGAAATAAATGTGGAGGGATAGACAGGCAGGCTGCTTTTATTAGGGGGGCATAAAAATGTATACAAATAAAAACAATTGACTTCTGCCTAGAAACAGTAGTGTAAGAAAAATCTGGAGATCTGTTTCCTCCATTGCTCCTTCCCCACCCCCCAACACATCATCCATTCGTCAGGTTTGCAGTGTGGAAATGTGGGCCAATAAAATTGTAATCACAATCAAGTAAAAATCACATTGTGCCACAGTCCAGAGACTTATCATCTGTTTTAGTGACTGAGTTGTAATCTGTGAGTTGTAGTGAGCTTTTATATTTTGAATTATAGCCTTTGAATGTCTGTCTATGGCGAGAATAACTTAGCACTGTCAGTTTGGGGTTTCAGGTTAGTGTGATGAATCCTGGTGAGCTCTTTGAATCAGTGCTCTCTGCAGTATCTTTCTGAGTGAAATATGGAGCTGTGAAATCCTGGTAGATGGTTGTCCTTCAGTTAAGAAGAGAGGAGCACAATAGATGTGCCTAGGTTGGCTGCAGGAACTTCAACTCTTATCAACTTGAACAAGTTACTAAAAGAAATCAACGTTTAACCTAAGAATTTTAGATTGCGCACTATCTGCCATGAGGAATCCAAGCTCTGGAGACGAGAGTTAATTAGGTTTATTTTCCTGTGGAGTTCGAGAATCTAAGAAATAAGTTCCCCTGTGCGGTTCAGCCACCAAGGAGAGTGGGCTGGTTATTTATGTGTTATCAAAGGCTGTTGTTCAGTCACTGAGTCATGTCTGACTCTGCGACCTCAGGGACTGCAGCACGCCAGGTTCCTCTGTCCTCCACTGTGGAGTTTGCTCAAATTCATGTCCATTGAGTTGGTGATGCTGTCTAACTATCTCATTCTCTGCTGCCCCTTTCTCCTTTTGCCTGCAATCTTTCCTAGTATCAGAGTCTTTTCCAATGAGTCGACTCTTTGCAAAGGTAGCTTCAATGGTAGTTATCAAAGGTAGCTTCACTCATAAAGCTGGATCTTTGCTGAGACAGCAGCAGGTTTTAAAGGGGAATAAACTTTTCTCAACAGGGTTACCTGACTACGATGGTTGTAGAACCTCCCAAGGAGTGATTAGGAAGCTTGCTGATGAGGCCAAAGATCACTGTGTACCTTCTCATGGCCACTGGTTGGAAGCAGATCTGTGCCACGCTTGGCTTGTGGAGCAAGGGCTGGATTTTGGTTCCGACGGGTGCCCTGGTCTGGGTGCTTTTGTGTAATACACAAACTACACCTGTGTGCTGTGACTTGGAAAAGACTCAGTAAAACATAGCAGGATAAGGGGCAAAATGATCCGGTGCAGATCCATTTCACTGTTTTTAATGTAGTAATTCACTAATAATGTGCATTTTAACGTGCGCTTTCTAGCACCTGGGGCTGCACCTCTCTCCTCGTTGTGCCACAAGCACACCTGTCTCATTCTTATCTCCTGGGTCAGCAAACAGTCACTGCTCCTTTCTTTCCACTTGGCTGTCTCCAACTTACCCCTCAGGTCTCAGTCAGATCTTGCTTCTTTCAGGAGGTCTACCCTGAACTTCCAAGGCTGAAGGATATCCTAGTTAGGTACCCATTCTTGAACTCCCCCACAGCAGCACTTAATACACGACAATATTGTGCTTTCTCTTTTCTTGTCTGCATGACTTTGCCAGCATATAAACCTCATGAGAGAAGAACTATGCTTTTCCTGTTCATGGTTGTTTTCCAAAGATGTAGCATAATACCTCACACCTATTAAACATTTATTGAAGAACAAACTCATAAATGCATGTGTATAAACTCTTCTCAGTTGATGGATTCTGAATATTGGCTTTGGCCTGATTTTACTGGTTGAGCTAGGTTTTACTATTAAATAAGTGACATCAGCTCACAAGGCAAATCCTTGGTGAGTTGCTACAGAAGGCTGTGTGGTATTTCTTAGGCATCTGCTCTCTGTTGGCTCACTGATTAAGGAGAGCCTGCCTGGATAAATGCACTAGAGGGTCCTGAATCATGCGACTTACTCAGATGATGACATCAGAGCCAGAGAGTGATTTGGTCTTGGAAGAGCAGGCTTAGTTCTGAAGCACACTAACCTCCTCCTCTTGCCCCCTCTAGCACTGGAAGACACAGCGCAGCGAGGAGTATGAAGCGGAAGGTAGGAACTGAGGGTGTGCTGGGCTGGTCCGGGACATTCACAGGGCTGCATTCACAGGGCATTCTCCACAACCCCTTCCCTCCTTCCTTACAGCCCTACCTGCTGGAGGCCAGCTAAGAAGCAACCTGAAGTACAACAGCAACAAAAAATTCATTCCCAATTGATAGCTCATAGTTTTAAATCATTGCATTTAACATCATGCAAGATATGGCAACGGAGATGTGGAATTTCACTTATGGGTTAATTACTGTCTTACATAGACTTTCACATTAATCTATAAACCATCCTAAAGGATTTACTGATTAAATGCATCCCTTGACAAGTTTCATGGTGATGTCCTCACCAGCAGATGGCACTGTGGTTCAGCTGACAGATCTCCGCCCACTTCACAGCCTACCCTGGATTAACTGTACTTAAGTGTAATTACAAATTCTCTAGGTCTCCAACCTGTAAAGACACAGCAGTAATAGGCTTAATGTCTATTTATTAAAATAAATACTAGGGGTAGCACTAAATACTCTTCTCAGCCCTCCAGGGTTCTTGCAGGCACACAGTATCATGCCAATAATTAGCTCATGTTTAAGTAATGACTTGACAGAATCTCTAATGTGAAAGTAGAAATCTTAACTAGAAGTGAGAAATTTTCATAGAGAATAAATATTTATTTTTAATAAGTAGGCTGATCCTTGTATCCTCAAGTAGAATTTATCCTTAATATGTTCTTAGTTGCTTGCTTGTGTCTGACTCTCTGCGACCCCATGGAAGCCCACCAGGTTCCTCTGTCCATGGAATTCTCCAGGTTAGAATACTGGAGTGGGTAGCCATTCTGTTCTCCAGAAGATCTTCCTGAGCCAGGGGTAAAACCCAGGTCTCCTGCATTGCAGGCAGATTTGTTACCCACTGAGCCACCAGGGAATCAACTATCCTTAATATACAGATAATTAATAACTTGCAACCATTTTTTTTAAGTTAGGTTGCTTATAGGTCAGAATATTCATGTGTAAAGATTTAGAAACAGGCTACTCTTGAGACTTTTATCATTATTTAATGATATTTACCATGAAATTATTTCCTTCTCAGTAAAACAGTGCTTAGACTAGAAAGAAAGTAGAAATAATAAAGTCTGGTAGCTATAGTTGAGGTAGGGTGTAGAAAGCTCTTTAGAATGGCTCTCAACCAGCCTTTTCTTTCAGTCACACCAAAGCCTAAGCCTGTGCACATTTTTCTTTGAAATAAAACAAAGCTAGAACCTTGACATGACTGCACCGGAATATTTCTTATAGGGGTATAACTGCTAGTGAACAAAAGAGTGCCTGTTGGCCTTTGTTGCAGCCTAAGAACCAATGGTTCTACTTCATTTGAACTTCTGGATCAAATCAACACTTGAGACCTGGGTTCGATCCCTGGGTCAGGAAGACCCCCTGGAAAAGGAAATGGCAACCCATTCCAGTATTCTTGCCTGGAGAATCCCATGGATGGAGGAGCTTGGTAGGCTACAGTCCATGGGGTCGCAAAGAGTCGGACACGACTGAGTGACTTCACTCACTCACTCACTCACTCATTTTCAAAAAGCATATTTTTCTTTGAGTATAGGTGCTCTCTCTGTGCAGTTCTTTTAGGGACAATATAATATATGCTTTTCTTTTAGGCCAGTTAAGATTTTGGAACCCAGATGATTTGAAAGCCTCACAGAGTGGGTCTTTGGCTCCCCAAGACTGGATAGAAGAGAAACTGCAGGAGGTTTGTGAAGATTTGGGGATCACTCGTGATGGTCACCTAAACCGAAAGAAGCTGGTCTCCATCTGCGAGCAGTATGGTTTGCAGAATGTCGATGGAGAGGTGAGCATTGCGTTGTATTTTTATTCAGGGATAGTCATCGTGATACAAGCTAACCTGGCCACAGGCTGGAAACAGCCATGTTTTGGTTTCCTGCAGCAAGTTACAGAGACTCCATGCTCTTTTTTTCCTGGCAAGTCAGCCGTCACGTTTCTGTCTCTGAGGCGCTTATGTTTGTCGTGGGAAAAAAAAACTGACAATAGCTGATAATTACTGAACCCAAACTGTGTGTACCTCACTGTGCTAAGCATGTTACCCCACATTATTATTAGACACCAGCTCACTGTAGCCGTGATGTAAGTCTATTTGTAGATGTGGCATTCACAGAGTCAGATGTGAGAAAGGTGTGGAGGCAGGACAAGGCAGAGAGTTCAAGAGAGTTGAGTTGGGGGAATACTTTGAAGCCCAGGCTGATAAGTTTAGCCTTTGGAGAGACAATCTCCATATCATCCCTGGGTTCTTTAGCAGATTACATAATATATTGGAAAAACTTACTTGCTAAGGGTGGTCTGAACTTCTTTTATGGGGTATATAGGTATAAAGAGAGCCATAGATTAGGACACCAGCCAGAAGTCACCACAATAATCTGGTCATGAGGAAATGGAAAAAGGTAGGTTGATGGTTTTGAAAATGTACAAGAAAGAAGCCCCCAAGATGCTCTTGCTTGGTAAAATTCTCAACTTTACATTTTCTAAAAAATTAAGAGGGGTGGCAGGACTGGGTGCATGAACAGCCATGAAACAAAAGAATGTAATTCCAAGACACGTCTTTCAAAGAGTTGAAAATAAGGATTGAAGGGACTTAGAGGTTAGGGCTAAACAGTTGTACAAGCTTTGGGTAACTTTGATTATAATGGTGCTCGAAACCATGTTATCTGCTTGCTCAGAGGATAAGTGGTTTTATTTTCCTAAACCAGAATGAGATTTATTTTCAGAAGCTTCCAAGCAGCCTAGCTTGCAGAAAAGTTCTCCCTCCTCCTTCTCCCTGTGTATGTGACCATTGCACACACTCTGACTGCCTTTTAATGGCTCCGCAGTCATTTATTAATCAGTGGTGACTGTTGAGTCATAAAATCAAATTCATCCTCCTAAATTATAAACCAGTGCAGTGTACAGAGCCTTGGGTTGTTTTTGCCAAGAAATATTGCACAAACTTGGATTATTTATCTAAACACAAATCTTGGAATAAACTGTAGCTGTTTATGGGGAGTTGCATTTTCTTCTGTGGTGGAGTTTCCAGGAAAAGAAGCAGCACATTTATTCTCCTCTGCTGTGAGGATGAGTGAAGGATTGCTAATTGAATGTAGCTTTTACTTAGTGTTTTTCCTCCCTGCCAAAATCATGAAATACTATAGTGCTTTTGTACTACTAGCTCTAGACCACGGAGTAGCTGAAAGTTCATGATGATCTCACCAACACACAGCTTGGAATCCTAGAATTTTACAACTGAAAGCAATTTTAGATTTAGTCACCCCCCATTTTATAAATAAAGAAAGAGGTCACTGCCGCCTGTTGCCATCATCAGGGAAACTAGATTGACTATCTTATAGCTGAAGCTGGTACCCTGCCTTCCAGAAGCCAGGATGGCTGTAGGGCAGGGAAAGCAGACTATCACCCCTGTTGTTTAATCGCCAAGTCATGTCTGACTCGAGCACTGTAGCCCACCAGGCTTCTCTGTGGGATTTCCAGGCAAGAATGCTGGAGTGGGCTGCCATTTCCTTCTCCAGGGATCAAACCTGGGTCTCTTGCTTGGCAGGAGGAGTCTTTACCACTGAGCCACCTGGGAAGTCCAGAGGCCAGATATGACCCAAAGGCCATGGGGCCTACACAATGTTTAAAAATTGAACTATTTGCTATACTTTTTAAAATCGGGACTTTTTTCCCCTGAAAATCAGAAGATTTGGCTCCATTTTTCTGGTAATGAGAAGCGGCTCGCCCCTTTGGACAGGGCATGCACTCAGATGTTCCATTCACTGCTTTAAAAGGCTTCCAAGTAGCCTTTTAAAAATGTCTCAAGACCATCCTGCCTCATTCATTTATATCACTTTCCTGGCCCCTCTGGCTATTTCCCAACTTACACTTTGGGAAAGACCTGGCTGGTGATAGGAAGGAAGAATGTCCTCAGGGCTCTAGATTCAGCTCCTGCAGAGACTGCAGGGTGTGTCCCACTGATTTGCATTCTTATCAGTCCAACCCAGTCCCTCTGTCCTCTTCTGAATCCACATTCATTTACTCACCACTTGCCCACACCCTGTGTCTAGTAACTGGCAGGACTGATTACTCCACCACTTGGAATGGATCAGGTGATGGGTGTTTAGGCAGTCGGGAAGCTGTACATTGATTTGACCAAGGTCACAGGGCCAACCAATGTGGAGCTAAGGGTAAAGGCTAAATATGCTGGTTAACTTCAGTCATCACTGCTGGATTTTACTGTGCCTTCTGGCTTGACAGTTCTGAAAGCCTAGTCCTCAAAGAAAGTGTTCTTTTGTTTGATAAAAACGAGACAGAGAATCTAAGGGAGCTTGGCAACCTCCCGAATTTTGCCCAAAATATCTTTCCATCTGTTTCTTCATATGATTCTCTATAGGAACTGTTGCTTCTTCCGAAGACTTCCACCCTTTAAAATGGTTTTGTTTTGGAATCCTCTCCAGAGGAAGTGGTAGAAAAACAAGAAGAGAGACAGATGTTTCCCATTGGATATGAATTGGAAAAAAAGCATTCAAGATAAAAGAAATGCTGCAAGCACTTAGCTGAGGGATAGAATCAACAATTAGGAGATGACAGGAGTCCTATCAATAGTCCAGACTTAGGAAATAAATATTGAAAATTTGAGGATTTGTTACAAAGAGGCTTTTGTTAGAAGGGACCCAGTTGCAGGCACTAATGGTAAGTTTGTTGCTTATTCAGTTCTTTGCTACTCAGCAAATTAGGCATCATCTTTTTAGAAATGTAGAATTCCCAGGCCTCAGCCCCAGATTTAACTACATGAGTCTGTGCTTTAACAAGATCCTCAGGTGATTTCTGCTTTGTACAATGGGGTCATGTTCTGTAGAAAAATTTCAGCCCCCCAAATAGGAAGCTGACTGTGAGAATGGAGGGCTTTGCTTTCCCTCCCTATTTTGTGGTGTCTGTGATTCATGTTGCTTTATTCCCTTTTCCATTCCTCTCTGAGTTAGGGAACAAACCATCTCCCAGGCATGCCTCTAGAAGGGACTCCGTATGATGAGGACCACTTGATTACTGTCAGAGGAGGCAAAATAGTCAGGCAGAATTTCCTTCTCTTCACATCTCTCGGAACACTTCTATTGCACACACGTGAAATTCTTCCTATCCAGTCCTCATTTCTGCTGTGCAAAAGCATTAAAAATAATTAAAAACACCAAACACCGCAGTGTGGTTCCAAGTAATGTTCTAAATTCCAAGGCATGGGTTTCAGACCCAAGCTCTTAAATCATTGGAATCTGTCCCAGACCCAATTATGCTAGTTTCCAAAATTTCATATAAGCAAAATATCATGTGGAGTCCGCATAATATAATGGCTTAATGAATGTCTGTTTTCTTCTGTTACAACACTGGGAAGCTATATCTTTATATTTTTCAGTAATTCTTCAACTCACAAGATAATGCATAGTAACGTTAAAGATAACCTGTTCTAAGAGGTATGAGCAAAAGAGAAAACAGTTAATTTCTAAGTTGCATAAAGTTATGAAGATGTTGAAAATGAATTTTATTTAGTTTCTGTGACGGGGGAGGACATATTACTAGAAAGGAAAATATATTTAGTGAAGTGAGAATAAAGGGACATGTCATATTTCTGGAGCCCTGGGATCAAGAGTGGTGCCAATATCTACTGGCTTTGTTGTTTAATCACTAAGTCGTGTCCGACTCTTTGTGACTGCATGGACTGTAGCCTGCCAGGCTCTCCTGTACATTGGATTTCCCAGGCAAGAATAACTGGAATGGGTTGCCATTTCCTTAGACTGAGGGATCGAACTGGCGTCTCCTGCATTGGCAGGTGAATTGTTTCCCACTGAGCCACTTGGGACTAGAAGTGTACTTTGGACTTCATGGGGTTTTTTTTGAGAGAAATCGTTAAGATATATGGTTACCCTCTTCTAGATGCTTGAAGAAGTCTTCCATAATCTTGATCCTGATGGTATGATGAGTGTAGAAGATTTTTTCTATGGCTTGTTCAAAAATGGAAAACCTCTTACACCATCAGCATCTACCCCATATAGACAATTGAAAAGGCACATCTCCATGCAGGTAAGAAATAAATAGGAAGTGGATTCTTTGCGAGTAAAGTTAACATCCATTTGAATAATTTCTAGTGAGTTAATCTGCTGTCTGAAGAAAAATACTGAGGAGAAAGAGAAGCAAAGAAGAGCAGAAAAGAAAGACTAAACCACTGGGGAAGTTGGGTTTGAGAAATGACCATAAATTATAGTAGGAAGACCACTAATTATGCCCCTCCTTGTTAGCTGTGGGCCAGAAGGAACCTGATGTTAAAGTAGAGATGCATCTCATCTGTATGCAGGATTCTCTCTGCCAGGTCAGCTGTTGATCAGCTTTGCATTCTTGACTGACTTGGGAAAGGAAGATCAAAGGGGCCGCATGGCTTTTTATCCTAGCAGTATAAATGAGAGAAGCATGGCTCTGCCCCTTGTGGTCAGGACTGACTGCGTTTGGGTTTGACCAACATCATGTTGCAATGCCTGAGCTTGCTCAAGTCTCTTTCTTCTTCTAGTCTTTTGATGAGAGTGGACGCCGGACCACCACCCCATCTGCGATGATGAGTACCATTGGTTTCCGGGTCTTCTCCTGCCTGGATGATGGGATGGGCTATGCATCAGTGGAGAGAATACTTGACACCTGGCAGGAAGAAGGCATTGAGAACAGCCAGGAGATCCTGAAGGTGTGGCGACTGAAATGGGAGGCAAATGACAAGTTGGGAAGGGTTGACAAATTCTGTCTGTGATTTGATTTGATTTCTCCTTAATGATTCTTCTGTTCACAAGATCTCAGACGTAAGAGATAACTTTTCCTACCCCCTTTAACCAGGAGTGTTGCTGACTTCATGTTTTTAACCCCTAAATTATTGACAAGAAATTTCTTAACTGATCTCTGGTTGGTAGTTTATTTACAATGCCAGACAGCATTTTTAAAAAACACGTAAATAATCATGTTTTCCTTAGAGAGACCTTAGTTATGCTGTAGGTTGAATATTGTTCTGAAGCAATTATTAAAGAAATGTAAACATCCAGTTTGTAGATTATAAATTCAGTTCCCCAGGTCTGTATAACCTTCACATTTTCTGCTTTCTAAGGATGGAACTTGTGGTTATCTTGAACTTGTTCTGATTTCTAGGCCTTGGATTTTAGCCTGGATGGAAATGTCAACTTGACAGAGTTGACACTGGCTCTTGAAAACGAACTTTTGGTCACCAAGAACAGCATTCACCAGGCAGCTCTGGCCAGTTTTAAGGCTGAGATTCGGCATTTGCTGTGAGTTGAGCAGAAAGCTTACCTGCTCTGTTCCCTTTCCTACTTGTTGAGCAAGTCCTTCGGATGCCTGTGGCATGTATTCTTCCATTCTGAAGGCCGTGGTGGCTAATCGCCTATCATCTCACTTCTGTGAAAGTGAGGTAGAGCTTAGATCTGCATGTAGGCTTTTGAAAAGGGCTGTGGAATGTCTTTGTGTTTTGGAAGGGTTCTGGTTGTCTTGGTTTTGTTTTTGTATTGGAGTAAGCCAGAGGAGAGTTTTTTTGGGTCTGCTTGTTGCCTAGTAACAGTCTCCCTTATAACTTTGTTTCTTTCTGGTTCTAGGGAGAGAGTTGATCAGATGCTCAGAGAAAAAGAGAAGCTACGGTCTGATCTGGACAAAGCTGAGAAGCTGAAGTCTCTAATGGCCTCAGAGGTGGATGATCACCACGCAGCCATAGAGCGGCGGAATGAGTACAACCTCAGGTGTGATGGGTGGGGCCAGGGCCCTCCTTTCCCACCACCCTGGCCCAGAACAGTGGGGTTTGCCTGCCTGCCTGCCTGCTTGGCCACAGCTGGCTGGGGTGACTTAGGTGTGGCCAGGCCTACAGGAAAGCAGGGCTCACTGGATACTTTCTCAAGGAGCTTCCCATCTCTATGACTCTCCGTTTTTGGTGGCTCTACAGAGGGACCTCTCAGGGACTAGATGGCAGCCTGTCAGTCTTTCCTTCTCACAGGAAACTGGATGAAGAGTACAAGGAGCGAATAGCAGCCTTAAAGAATGAGTTTCGAAAGGAGAGAGAGCAGATCCTGCAGCAGGTGGGCAAGCAGCGTTTGGAACTTGAGCAAGAAATCGAAAAGGCAAAAACAGAAGAGAATTACATCCGGGACCGCCTCGCACTCTCTTTGAAGGTAATTATCCTCTTAGTTATGTGGTCTGTGTGCTTTCTGGGAACACCTCATGGAAAACCACAGCTCTGTAAGAGGACAAGTCTGCACAGGGCCCTTAAGTCTGGGTCAACACCCGGACATAGTAGAGCCCCACTGGGATTCAGGTTTCAGGGATGTCCAGGCTTCTGGTTTGCCAACAGCATATTTTGTTCTTATCTGCTGAAGTTGCAGTGAGTCCTCAGGCCTGTTTGATACCTGGTTGATGCTGTCCCCTTCCTCATCCTTATTAGCAGATGGCTTTTTTTTCCTGCCACATAGAGGCCATCCACTTTATTTCTCTGCTCCCAAATCTACCTTTTCCCTTGCACGTCCTCCTCTTATTTCCTGTGCCTCAGTAGAGGAAGTGATCCTTCTCTTTATGGAGCTCTGACATCGGGTTATGTGGTACAGTATCAGCTGGAGCTGAAGGTGGCGGGACCCTCTCAGGTCTTGGGAGGGGTCTGAACTCAAGACTGCCTGGTTCCAATCTGGATCCCACTACTTACAGAAGACCTTGATCAGGTTACTCAAGCCTGTTTCCTAATGTACAGGAGAGTGACCATCATAATACCTACCTCATAGCATTCATGTGGAGATTGAGTGAGTTGCTACATATACTGTATCTGAAAGTAATAAGAACCTATGGAATAGTTAGTTTTGTTGAGGTTATGAAAGGTTCCTGAAACTCCACACATCAGAAACTGAGCCAGTTCTACCTCCCTAACCATCAAACTGCTTCCTCTCCTGAATTTTCACCCTAATCTCCATCACCACCCTGTGCTGTAAGCCATAGAAGTCACCGTCCTTGGTCATCCTGCATTCTCAGTTTCTGAATCCTGCTGATGTTCTGAAAGGCTTCTCAGATTTATCCCATTTCTCCATTTCCACAGCCTCTGAACAGGTTTGGAATTCATCACAATTTCTCAACTGACTTATGTGCATCCTTTCTTCCATCTATCCAGCCTCCCTCCGCCTGGTCACCAGAGTTATCTTACTGCTGCTGCTAAGTCGCTTCAGTCATGTCCGACTCTGTGCAACCCCATAGACGGCAGCCCACCAGGCTCCCCCGTCCCTGGGATGCTCCAGGCAAGAACACTGGAGTGGGCTGCCATTTCCTTCTCCAGTGCATGAAAGTGAAAAGTGAAAGTGAAGTTGCTCAGTTGTGTCCAACTCTTTTCGACCCCGCTCCTCTGTCCATGGGCTTTTCCAGGCAAGAGTACTGGAGTGGGGTGCCATCTTACTGAAGAACACTGAAAAATCATGCTATACCCTTTGTAAAAGTGCAGCATGGCAGCACTGAAGGGCCCTGAAAAGGGGTTCACGCTCCTACCTTCCTAATCTCAGGTCTTGCCAGCAAGCCCCAAGTCCACGCCCAACCTCTGCTGCACCTGCCGTCAGTGATTTCAGTCTCTTGGTGGGCTTTCAGGCTCCTCACTGCTTTCTCCAATACTGCAGGCCAAATTGCTTATTCGTTCCCATTACACTTACTTTTTTTCTTGCCAGAAGATAGCATATTTTCTATCACATCTTAGGTAATTGTATCCATATCTGTCTCCCCTGCCATGGCCCCAGTTGTGTGTTCTCTGTGGTCAGCAACAGAAGCTGACTTCTCAGTTTCCAAAGCACCAACACAGGCCCAGTTCACAGAGATTGCTCCTGATTATTTTAACATCTAAATTTAGACATACTTTGAAAGATTAGAATTCTAGAGTTGTCATTTGGGGGGAAGGTAGTTTTCTTTTTTAAACACTTCAAGCACATACTTTTTCACTACATGTTAACTGTATAAGGGTGTGAACAAGAATATATTTGAAACACATTGACTCTGCTTAAATGTCCATTGACAGAGGAATGGATAAAGAAGATGTGGTACATATATACAATGGACTATTACTCAGCCATTAAAAAGAATGAAGTAGTGCCATTTGCAGCAACATGGATAGACCTAGAGAGTATCATACTGAGTGAAGTAAATCGGACAGAGAAGGAAAAATATCTTATGACATTCCCATATATGTGGAATCTAAAAAGAAATGATATTAATACAAATAAACTTACAAAATGGAAACAGACTCACAGACTTTGAGAATGACCTTATGGGTGCTGGTGGGAAGGATAGGGGAGAAAGGATAGTTGGGGAGTTTGGGATGGACATGTATACACTGCTGATTTAAAATAGATAACCAACAAGGACCTACTGTATAGCACATGAAACTCTGCTCAATGTTATGTGGCAGCCTGGATAAGAGGAGAGCTTGGTGGAGAATGGATACATGTGTATGTGTGACTGAGTCCCTTTGCTGTTTACCTGAAACTACCACAGCATTTTGTTAATTGGCTATACCCTAATATAAAATAAAAAGTTTTCTAAAAAGAAATATATCATCTCTATATTTTGGCAAGATATGCCTTGAAAATATACAGGAAAAAACCCACATTTTGTGGACCTAGGTTGACATGTTATTATAATAATTTAAACATAAATTATGAAAAAAACTGTATGTGTAGCTTTTATACTGGAGAAGGCAATGGCAACCCACTCCAGTACTCTTGCCTGGAAAATCCCATGGACAGAGGAGCCTGGTAGGCTGCAGTCCATGGGGTCTCTAAGAGTCGGACATGAGTGAGAGACTTCCCTTTCACTTTTCACTTTCATGCGTTAGAGACAGAGACAGAAATGGCAACCCACTCCAGTGTTCTTGCCTGGAGAATCCCAGGAATGGGGGAGCCTGGTGGGCTGCCGTCTATGGGGTCGCACAGAGTCGGACACGACTGAAGCGACTTGGCAGCAGCAGCAACTTTTATATCTTTAAACCAAAATCAAATTGTAAATTAAATATAAACCATGTCTATATCATCATTAAATGAAAATTGTTGGAGATATTCTCCTTTTTGTAGTTTTTCTGAGTTCTCTTTTGCTGTCAGATAAACATGGTATTCTGCAATCAGTCTTTTATTTGACATCCTAATGAGAACGCTTTTTCATGTCATTAAATTTTCAATTGCAAAGCTGTCAAATAGAAGTACAATGCAAGTCATATGTAACTTAAAATTTTCAGACAGCCACATTAAAAGGTAAAAAGAAACAGATGAATTTAATGTTAAACCATTTTAATCTGTTATCTCTAAAATATCATCATTTTGACTTGTAATTAATATAGAAAACCTGTTATTGAGCTTTTTTTTTTTTCCATTTTTGTTCTAAATCCTCAAAATCTGGTGAGTATTTCATACTCACAGCTCCTCTACCTGGGACTGCTAGTGCCTGCTATTGGATAGCGTGGTTCTGTAGGATCAAGAAAAAGAAGAGGCATGCTTTGGGCTTATAAGATAAACATTGTTTTTTTTAATATTTACTTTTTCTCCTCTAGCGTACTGAAACTTTCTCAATCTAGAGCATTGATTTATGCATCATATAAAATGGTACAACAGCTTCCTTTTTAATCCACGTAATTTCCCCAAATTTCTTCAGGAAAACAGTCGTCTAGAAAATGAGCTTCTGGAGAATGCAGAGAAGTTGGCAGAGTATGAGAGTCTGACAAACAAACTTCAGCGAAATTTGGAAAATGTTTTGGCAGAAAAGGTAAATCTGTTTAACTGTGATTTCCTGAAAGGTAACCCCGAAATGTAGTTTACTCAAAAGACCAGAAGCAGTGCCACTAAGAAAATGTCTATTATGGAATTATTTATATGACTAAAGGAAGTTGTCAACTTTTGCAGGGATTTAATTTATACAAGGAAAACTTTGCATGGCACTGAGAAAGGATCTCTGCTTTAGTTGAACACATCACTCTAGAATGTTCTTTCCATCATCCAGTGGATGGTGTTTCTGTTCAAAAGTCACATTCCTTTCATACTTAAGAGATTGAGTGAACACCAGAAACTGGGGCCTTTGGTATTTTATAGGTCAAAGAAGGACACTTGGGAAAAATGACAACTTTGCACTTCCCGTTTTCTAGTTTGGTGACCTTGATCCCAGCAGTGCTGAATTCTTCCTGCAAGAAGAAAGGCTGACACAGATGAGAAATGAATATGAGCAGCAGTGCCGGGTGAGTGACTGAAGAGAATTTAACTTAGTAAGTGGAGGAGTGCCTAGGTTCAGATCCTGCTTCACCATTTACTAGCCAAGTGACTGGTAAACGTAACCTGTGGGTATCTCAATTCCTCATCTTCAAGGTGACAAAAATAAATGAACCCACAAAATACGGTTGTTGTGGAGAGTCAGGAAGTACACGTGAAGCACTTAGAACAGAGCCTGAGACACAGAGAACACTTAACCTAAGTGCTTGCTATTAATGTTATTATTTAGTATCCTGACATATGAGAGAGTCAGGCAAACTGCAGTTTGTTTGTTTTCTCTGGGTCAGAAATTGCCAGTAATTAGAGGAAAATAAGGTTTTATTCTAAGAGAAGGAAACTGTGGTCATGTTGATACGCTTATTCCAAAACCAGCCTTTCCTGAGTGCAGGCCTACTCTGATATAATTTGCTTTTGTTCTGTGGGGATTTTTCCTGAATACATTCCTTCCTTTATTTACAAAATGCCAATAGAGCAGAAACCACTCAGGTCTTTAAGTAGTAAGTCATCACTACTAGAGGACACAAAAACATCCTAATAAATAAGAATCTTTGATTTTTTTAGAAAAGTAACTCTTCTAAACTCAGGAATCTGAGATTTTTTTTTTTTAAACCACAAACTCTTGTGTATTTTAACATGGTGAACATAACTGAGTTCAGCCTGCTTTAGATGAACATAGGACTTGGGCAAAAATGAAGAAAACAATCACCTCCTTATGAGGTTGTTCATAGTCGGCCTTCTCAGGAAATAAACATGCAGATTTTGAGATAAGAGATGAAATATTTGTCACTCTTAAAATACAAATTTTGTAAATACAAATACAAATTTTGGCTCTTCTCTCTAATCTCCTGTGCTTTCAGTTATTTCATCAGTAAAATCTGTCAGCTCCACCTCCAAAAATTCCCCAAATTCATCTACTTATTTATTTTTTAATAGCTTTTCATAACCATACAATTCATCCACTTAAAGTATACAATTCAGTCTCTTTTAGTATATTCACAGAATTGTACAACCATTACAATAATAAATTTTAGAACATTTTCATCACCTGCAAAGAAACTCCCAGTCCACCTAGCTGTAATCTCTCCTATGACCTCCAGCCCTAGGCAACTAATAATCTATTTGCTGTCTGTTTGGTTTTGCCTATTTTTTACATTTCCTATAAATGGATTTATATAATATATCGACCTTTGTGACTGGCTTCCTTCATTTAGCATATTGTTTTTGAGCTCTATCCATCTAGTAGCATGTATCAGTACTTTATTTCTATTGCTGCATAATATTCCATAACATAGCCATACCACATTTTATTTATCCATCCCTTAGTTGATAGACATTGAGTTATCTGAATAATGGGCTGCTGTGAATAATTTATGTGTGAGCTTTTGTGTGGACATATGCTTTCATTTCTCTTGGGTATGTACTGAGGAGTGGAATTGAATCATATGATGACTGTATGCTTAACCTTTGAAGAACTGCCAAATTTTTTGCAAAATATTTGCACCATTTTACATTCCCACCAGTATGAGAGTTCCAGTTTCTTTCCATCCTTGCCATACATACAGTTGTTACTGTATGTCCTTTTTATTTCAGCCATCCTAGTGGATATGAAGTAGAATCTCATTGTGGCTTTGATTTGCATTTCCCTGATGGCTAATAACATTGAGTATCTTTTCATGTGCTTGTCAATATATCTTCTTTGGAGAAATGTCTCTTCAAATCCTTTGCTGAACATTTAAATGTGTTATTTGTCTTTTTATTATTGAATTGTAATAGTTCTTTATATATTCTGTATACAAGTCCCTTATCAGATATATAAGGTGCAAAAACTTTTTTTCCATGCTGTGGGTTGTCTTTTTACTTTCTTGTTGGTATCCTTTGAAGCACAGAAGTTTTTAATTTTGATGATATACAGTGTATCTGTTTTTTCTTCCGTTGCTTGTTTTTGACATCACATCTAAGATTTATATTGGTTTTCAAACTCCAGCTATTACAAGACCAAGTAGACGAACTCCAGTCTGAACTGCAAGAATATCGTACACAAGGCAAAGTATTCAGGCTTCCCTTGAAGAACTCACTGTCAGAAGAGCTTGATGTTAACAGTGGTTGCATCGAGCCTGACCAGGGTAAGTCATTCAGACACCATCTTTTCAGAGTCTGTGCCTTTGACTTTTGATTTTAAAACCATGGTTGAATGTAAAATTGCAAAATGTTGGCAACCCTGCCTTTTCCGACCCCACAGCACTACACCACCCCTCACCCCACAAAAAAAGATTTTGGCAGTGCTATTTTCTTGAGCTGTTTCACTTGTGGTATGTTTTTTCCATTTGTCCTTGAAGTCTTTATGAGAATATTTCCATCTGATTTTGATACACATCAACAAATAAATGGAAAAATCAAACCACAAGGATATTTAAAAAAAAAACTGGCCATGAGTCTGCGAATCCAGGCCTTGGGAGTGTTAGAATTCAGTCACTGAGTTATTGCTGAATCCTCCCTTCCTAAAACAGTGCCTAACTGGTATGACAATGTTTTGAAGAGTGAGCCAGCCAGAAACCCCAGAATTTGATTTCCTTACGCTGGTTGTGCTAAATGCCTGCAAAACAACAAATAAGATAAATAAATGTTGGTGCCTGTGCCTTGGGGAGGATTTTGAGTAATACGGCTGGAAGGCAGAGCTGTTTGGGAACCCTGCTATGTTCATTATCAGCTCTTTTCCTCCCTCCTCCTATCCTGCCTCTTTCTTCCAGTGTGTTGAATATGAATTTCAGAAAGGGTTTATAATGAATTCTTCATTGTAAATAGTTTTCCCCAGTGCTACTTGGAACAGGAGTACAGGTTCTCACAATGGTTGTTTATTCTTCTCCTTACCTATTTATTCTACAGTAAATAAGGGAGTGAGGAGGGGACAGGAAGAGGCTTGAATACTTTTCCTCTAAGTCTGTACTCTGTAGCCATATACTGTGGTAAAAGGATGGAGCCCAACTGATATGATATATCTTAGAAGTTTTTCTGGGCTTTTCCGTAGATGAGCAAGGGCTGGGAGTTCTAATCATGGGTACATGAGGCTGTGCCATCTTGGGATGGTTTACACCCCAGGTATCACTTCTCAGATGGGGAATGCCATCACAGATATAGAGAAAGCCCAAAGATTGTCAATTCCAGATGTTAGACTTACACTATTTCTTGCATCTGCCTGTGTCCCTCCTCATGAAAACTTTTTTTGAGTCCCCTGCCTTAATTTTAGTCCCCTGCCTTAGTATTAGATGTAATCATTTCATCTGTGCACTAGCTCAGCCCTCAGCGTATGCTTCACATTTCAATGTTTGTCTCAGTCACCATTGTGGGCAGTTGCAGAGGTGAACTCCTATGGAATGAGTTGATAGTTTTCTACCGAATCTGCCTATATCCACGTTCCTAACCTATGCTCTATTCTTTTAAATAACTTTAGCTGATAATTTAAGATGAGGCCCCACCTGCACTACAGGAAATTAGCATTATAGTGCTCAATCTTCTGTAATGTTGAGTGGTGGGTTGGATATCTTGATCCATGAAGTTAACACCTCAAAGCATAGCAAGTATGCTGGCCATTCATCCTCCTGCCACATTCCCTTCTGCTGATTTGGCACTCAGTATTTGTTGGATGGAAAGAAGGCTGGTTGGTTTGATCATACTGCATCACTCTGCAGCATTTTCATTAGCAGGAGGTCACTTTTAAGAAACATTTTCCCCATCTGCTCCCACCTCCTGTCCTATTGACTTCTAGTAAGGTTTGATATGCTGCCTGTACATGGAAAATCTGTTGTCTTTGTTTTTTCTCATTTTCCCTTATGCTTGAAAACAAGAGACCACTCGTGGATTCTGCTGTTTCCTAATAGATATCATCTATTGCAATTTAGGATTCTATAATTAATACCAGTTGTGTTATTGAAAGAACCTGCAGCCGGGTCAACAGATCCCATGTGTTTTCAGGGCTTGGTTCTGAAGAATGCAATCCACTGAATATGAGCATTGAGGCAGAGCTGGTCATCGAGCAGATGAAAGAACAACATCACAGGGACTTGTGTCACCTAAGACTGGAGCTTGAAGATAAAGTAAGACTTTCTTCTCAATCCTGTTCTCTGATTTCTTTGAGCTCTGACAAGCTTTTGCATGTACATCACTCTCCATTCTTTTTTCTCCCAGAGCAGCACTATCTGTACATTTCCTCATGCGTCTGGGTGGCTACCAGGAGCTCACTTCCTCAGGATGCTTTCACAGGCCAAGGGGCCTTTGAGGGCTCTTCCTTGTAGGAGAGAGATTCTTAAAAATGGAATATCTTCAGTCCTAGCCAGCATGGAGCTTGAAGGGCATTACATTATTTCCAACTCATTAAAAACAAACTTCAAAAAGTCCTTTGATATAGCATTACCTCCTAAATTAGGTAGAAGTTCTGAATCTTGGTTTTCAAAACCATTTACCATGTTGCTTTAGGTTATATTTCCAGTCTTCTTTTTTATGATTCCTTTGAGTTACTTCATCTTCCAGCCAAACCAGGTAGTTTGCTGCTCTTCATCAAACTGTCCTCTTTTGCTCATGCTATTACATGCTATGTTATCATCTCTTTCTACCTCTTGAAAGTCTACTTAACCTTCAGAGTTTACATTAAATGCTGCCTCTTATATTCCTGAATTCTCCCAACCAAACATGATTTTCACCTCCTTGGAGTCCCCTGGTTACATTGTAGGTATTTTTCCTATACATGTTTTTATGTGTTTTATTCTGACTGGTAGTACACTTTCTTTATATTTGTCATAACCATGTCTAGAGAGGGAGCAATGTCTTATCCAACTTGTGTTCCCATGAGGCCTGCAGAGTACCTGACAGGTGTTAAATAAATACTTGAATATAATTATCTATGTTAAGACTTTCAGTTTGCAGTTGGAAAGGCTGCCTGTGAAGAAATACAGTGTCTATGTGAAGGCCTAGTTAGTTTTAACAGAGGTGTTTAGAAACTAATAACATTCAACCAATTTACAAAGGAAATCAAACCATGCCTGACTAAAAAATATTTAATGTGTTTTGAATTGTTACTTTAAAACAAAAATAGGAAAACTGAGAAATGTCTTGTAAGAAAAAAGTCTTTACTGCCCCATCGCCTTATCATGGCCTTGAGTTGAATAACACTGTGGTGGTTTCACTTTCTGGCTTTAGGTGAACTATTATGAAAAGCAGCTAGATGAAACCAAAGTTGCCTTTGAAAAGGAGCAGGAGAACATGAAGCTCAAGTGTGAGAATGAAGTACACATCTTAGAAGAACAAATAAGTGACCTTAAAAATAAAATTGCAGAACTTCAGGGCCAGACAGAAGTACTCAAGGAGGCACACCACATGGCTATCTGCAGACATGAGGAGGAGAAAAAACAGCTGCAGATGAAGTGGGCTGAGGAAAAGACTCACGTGCAGGAGGAGCTGCGGCTGGAACATGAGATGGCCCTCAGGGCTAGGCTGGAGCAGCTGGAGGAAGGCTTTAACAGAGAGAGGGAAAAACTTGTTCAAAATGGCGCCTGGACAGAGGAGAAGGTGAGGGGCTTGACTCAGAAACTAGAACAAGCTCACCAGGAGCAGCTGAAAAGCCTGGTGGAGAAACACATTCTTGAGAAAGAGGAATTGCAAAAAGAGCTCTTGGAAAAACACCAAAGGGAACTACATGAGGGAAGGTAAGAAAGTGGGGAAAGTAGAGGAGGGGACCCAGTCCTCAGGGGCACCGCAAGTCCCAGTCAGTAAAGGAGACTTTGAAAAATCAGAAGGTGTAAGAGCCCACTTACTGACTAGAATTCTTCTTTTAGTTTTTCAACTTGTTTTGTCCTTGTTTAGATATAAGCCTACCTTGGGATTATTGAAACTTTTTTTTTAAGAGGAAAGTTTTTTTTTTTTTAATCAGACATGTACTTTTTAAGGTACCAGATGAGGATAAGATTATCACAAATGTGATTTCTTTTTTGTTTAGTCCTGTTGTTTTCTTAGAAAGGCCTTTTATAAGTTATTAGATTCTGGGCAAAGTTACATTTCCTCCCAGAGTTATGAAACACTGTTTTGTGCTTACTTTCCTCATGTGAAACCTCAGGTGCTTTTGAGGGCTTTGGTGCTTCATACTTTAACTTGGTGGTACTTCATTAAATAGAAAGCAAAACATATATGTATGGTTTATATAACTACATATAGACAGACAGAGAGTCACTCAGTCTTGTCTGACTCTTTGTGACCCCACAGACTGTAGCCTGTCAGGCTCCTCTATCCATGGAATTCTCCAGGCAAGAATACTGGAGTGGGTTACCATTTCCTTCTCCCAGGGATCTTCCTAACCCAGGGATCAAACCTGGATCTCCTACATTGCAGTCAGATTTCTTTACCATCTGAGGCACCAGGGTATACATAATTAAAATGAAAGAATTTTATGTATTTCCCATTTAGGGTTTAGGGTAATATGTATTTGAACATTTCATGAGAAAGCACTGTAAGTTTTTGGCTAAAACTCCATAAATATCTGGGAGTATGCCAGAGAATTTGGTTTCTAAATCTTCTTTTTAAATATAGAGAGAGGTAAGTCTTTTAAATTAATTCTGGCTGCCAGTGTTGGCGCTCAGAAATGAGATCCCTTCTGAGTATAGAAATAAGTGAAGACCATTTTTTAGAAAATATTTAAATTGTTTGCTTGGCTGCTTCTATGCATGGGAAAATGTTTTTTGTTTGCTTCTAGAGTTGATGACAGTTTCAGTAATGCTGTGTGTTGACCACATTTAGGGAAAAAATGGAAACTGAGTGTAATAGAAGAACCTCTCAGATAGAAGCCCAGTTTCAGGCTGACTGTCAGAAAGTCACTGAGAGATATGAACACGCCCTGCGGAGTCTGGAGGCGCACTACCGCCAACAGCTGAAGGAGCTCCTGGACCAGCAATGTGAGGAGAGGTCCCAGTGGGAGTTCGAGAAGGACGAGCTCGCCCAGGAGTGTGCGGAGGCCCAAGAGCAGCTCAGAGAGACTCTGCAGAGGGAGAAAGCAACCTCTTTGGCCCTCACCCAGGAGAGAGAGATGCTGGAGAAAACATACAAGGAGCATTTGAATAGTATGGTTGTTGAGAGAGAGCAGCTGCTACAGGACCTGGAAGATCTGAGAAACGTGTCTGAAAGTCAGCAAAGTCTCCTGTCCAACCAGATACTTGAGCTGAAGAGCAGTCACGGAAGAGAGCTGAAGGACCGCGAGCAGGTCCCGTGCCAGGCAGGCACCTCAGAGCAGCTGGCCAGCCAGAGGCTTGAACGGCTGCAAAGGGAACATGACCAGGAGACGCAGGAAATGATGTCCAAGCTTCTGGTCCTGGAGAGTGTCCACAGAGCAACCTGTGAGAAAGCAGATCGAGAGAGGGCTGAGATGAGCACAGAAATCTCCAGGCTCCAGAATAAAATCAAGGAGATGGAGCAGGTAGTGTCTCCTCCCTCCAGGCTTCAGAATAGCTGTCAGGTGATAGGAGGGGAGGAGGCAGAAGAAAATGGCGCCATGTCCCTGCTTCAGCAAGGAGAACAGCTGTTGGAAGAGAATGGAGATGTTCTCTTAAGCCTGCAAAGAGCCCATGAACGAGCCGTGAAGGAAAATGTGAAAATGGCAACTGAAATTTCTAGGTTGCAGCAGAGGCTGCAAAAATTAGAACCAGAGTCAATAATGTCTTCTTGTTTAGATGAACCAGCTACTGGGCTCTTTGGAAATTCAGTGGAACAAACAGAGCCATTTTTACAGCCAAACCGAATCAAACAAGCAGAAGGTGGAACGACGCAGCGTATTCTCAATGACCTACAAGGCGATGAGGTCCGTGACCTCGAAAGTACAGGGGCGAGCTCTGGTCAGAGACAGGTCAGAGTAGAGGAGTCTGAAGCATCACTAGAGAGTTTTTCCGAGCTTGAAAATAGTGAGGAGACCAGAACTGAAACCTGGGACCTGAAGAACCAGGTCGGCCAGCTTCGGGAACAGTTAATGATCTTACGTGCAGACTGCGATCGAGCGTCTGAAAAGAAACAGGACCTACTGTTTGATGTTTCTGTGCTAAAAAAGAAACTGAAGATGCTTGAAAGAATTCCTGAAGCTTCCTCCAAGTATAAACTATTATACGAAGATGCCAGTAGAGAAAATGAATGTCTTCAGGAAGAGCTGAGGATGATGGAGACACGCTACGACGAAGCACTGGAAAGTAACAAAGAGCTCACTTCAGAAATGTTCAGATTACAGGATGAGCTAAAGAAGGTTGAAGAAATGACTGACACATTCCTTAGCCTGGAAAAGAGTTACAATGAGATCAAAAGAGAAAACAAGGAACTGAATGTTCTGGTTTTGAGACTTCAAGGCAAGATTGAGAAGCTACGAGAAAGAGCAGCACTGCAGTGTGACTGCTTCTCCTTATGGGAAGCCCATTTGGATAACCTGGAAGTCGGACCTGATGAAAAGGTCTGTGAACGAAACCAAACACTGGATGAGCATGTACCAAATGTTATGAGTGTGCACCGTACTATAGAAGAACATTTGTATCAAGAAAACCAGTACCTAGAACAGGAGAATACACAGCTCTTAGAGAAAGTAAAAGCATATGGAATCACCTGGCTACATGGAACACTCCAGACACATCGAGACAAGCCTGGAGCACAGAACCGAGTTATACTGGAGGAAAACACTGCTCTCCTCGGCCTTCAAGACAAGCATTTTCAGCACCAGGCCACCATCGCAGAGTTAGAACGGGAGAAAAAAAAGCTGCAGGAGCTGACTAGAAAGTTGAGGGAAAGAGTCACTGCTTTAGTCAAGCAAAAAGATGTACCTTCTCAAGGAGAAAAGGAGGAAGAGCTGAAGGCAATGATGCATGACCTGCAAATCACATGCAGTGAGATGCAACAGAAAGTTGAGCTTCTGAGGTAATGTATGTACCTTCTACACTTCACGGAGCCTCACAGAGCACCTCACCAGATCTAACTTCTGCTGCTTGCTGTGCCTAGAGAAACTAACCTGTTAGTCTTCAAAAAGAGAGCAGTACTTTAGACTCCCTTCTGCTTCTGTGTTATATTAACAAGTAGAATAACCCAGCCTAGGAGGCACTCCTTCCTCTATAGGAAATAAATGTTGTTCATTTGGGGGTGAAAGTTTATAATGGAGAGTGTTTGCTGTTTAACCATGTGCGTCATCATTGTATGTCGTCTTTAACTCTTTTCTAGCACTTCATTCGGATGGACAGACTTTTTCCTTTGGCTAAATGTTATTTTCTCATTTTGATGAAACAAGTTATATAAGAATGAATATCTTTTGTGTATTATTAACTCACTTGGTAGACAAGAACTTTCTTCTTATACTAATATGGGGAAAAATGTTGTGTTTCGTGGCTTATGGTTTGTCACTTACATCACTTAAAGTGCATGCTGATATTCTATAGATATTGGAAATTCACCTTAGAACATACAATTTTTTGAGGAGCTGTCAGATTTTAATGTGCTGAAAGAACAGAGACAAATATACTAATTTGAACTACTGCTCACTTGACTTTATAAAATATGATAGCAATAGTCTTCTAACAAATTTGGTTCAAAAAAATTGTAGAATTTACATCATATCTGAAATATCTTAATGATATGGGAAAAAAAACAAAATAATTCTAGGTTTAGTCTTTCCTCTTTTTATTTTAGACCGTTCTTAGTTCCAAAAATCATAATGAGATGAAAGAAATTAGAAGGTAACCATTAGTGTACATATTTTGATATGTCCCTTTCATTTATGTAGTGAATTTTCTTTCTCTAGGTACCTTGGGGTTTAAAACTAAAGCTCATACAGCTTTGTGATACAGCTTTTGTCTTTGAGGAGCAGGCAGGACTTGAGACTGAAATACAGAGTTATTTGCTCAAAGCAGTATGAGAAAGTCAGCAAGTAGGATGGGTACTGAGTCTCTTTTCTGTCTCAGTGCTTAAGTGTTTTAGTCACACTTCCCTAATGTCTTTTAGTAAAATTCTTACTTCCCAAAAGAAATGAGTCAGTCTGTCATAGCTTGATTTCCAAGTACGAAGAGACTACTAATTTAGGCTTTTCTTTTTAGCTGGTATGGAATATGGGTTTAATTGGAAGTTACTAGAAAGTGTTTTCCAAAGATGCCAGATGATGGCCTTTTTATAACTATTTTTTTAAAATCTCTGTACTGCAGATATGAATCTGAGAAGCTTCAAGAGGAAAATTCTATTTTGAGAAATGAAATTACTACTTTAAATGAAGAAGACAGCATTTCTAACCTGAAATTAGGGAAATTAAGTGGATCTCAGGAAGAAATGTGGTAAGATGTATACTTAAATATCCTAAAGGCATTTTTGCAAGGACTAAAACTGTTGTACTTCAGTGTTTAAAGCCTAACTCTTAAGTTATATTTTCATTGTCCCTTTAGGCAAAAAATAGAAACTGTACAACAGGAAAAAGCTGCAGTTCAGAAAATGGTTGAAAATTTAAAGAAACAGGTAAGAGGTATTTCTCAATGTTTCCTGATTCTAAAATTTTCTTTTCTTTAACAATAATGGTAAGGTTGTAATTCTGAGTTTCAAAATGGAAACTTACCTCATGCTAATTCTAAATTCAGTTTCTATTTTTTGAAAATATATTTATTATTTCCAAAATGTGTATACATTATTTCTAGACTCTGGGTGTTTAATACAAGCTGTATAATCAGTGGGAATGGGGAGATGATAATCTCTAAACCAAACTTATGAAAAACTAGCTCTATCGCTTATGTGTTTGGTCCATTCTCTTTTTTTAATTGGTGGGAAATCGCTTTACAATTTTGTGTTGGTTTTTGACATACAGCAACATGACATAAAAAGGAGCAAATCTGAGTCAGTTGTAGCGAGGTGGATGAACCTAGAGCCTCTTATACAGAGTGAAGTCAGAAAGAGAAAGACAAATGTGCATTAACACATATATATGGAATCTAGAAAAATGGTACTGATGAACTTAGTAGAGAATGGACTTGTAGACACAGCAGGAGAAGGTGAGGGTGTGATGAACTGAGAAAATAGCATTGACATATATACACTATGATGTGTAAAACAGATAGTTAGTGGGAAGTTGCTAAATAACAGGGACCCAGCTTTGTACTCTGTGATGACCTAGATATGGGATAGCAGGAGGGTTCCCTGTTATTTATCAACTTCCCACTATCTGTTTTACACATAATAGTGTATATATGTCAATGCTATTTTCTCAGTTCATCACACCCTCACCTTCTCCTGCTGTGTCTACAAGTCCATTCTCTACTAAGTTCATCAGTACCATTTTTCTAGATTCCATATATATGTGTTAATGCACAACATTTGTCTTTCTCTTTCTGACTTCACTCTGTATAAGAGGCTCTAGGTTCATCCACCTCGCTACAACTGACTCAGATTTGCTCCTTTTTATGTCAGAGTTATATTCCATTGTGTAAATGTACCACAACTTCTTTATCCATTCATCTGTCAGTGGACATCCAGGTTGCTTCCATGGCTATTGTAAAGTGCTGCAGTGAACATTGGGATACATGTGTCTTTGAGAATGGTGGTTTTCTCAGGGTATATGCCCAATAGTGGGATTGCTAGGTCATATGGTAGATTTAGTCTTTTAAGGAATCTCCATACTGTGTTCCATAATGGCTGTATCAGTTTATATTCCCACCAACAGTGCATAAGGGTTCCCCTTTCTCTACATCCTCTCCAGAATTTATTGTTTGTATATTTTTTGATGATGACCATTCTGACTGGTGTGAGGTGATAACTCATTGTAGTTTTGATTTGCATTTGTAATAATGAGTGATGTTGAGCATCTTTTCATGTGTTTATTAGCCATCTGTGTGTCTTCTTTGGAGAAATGTCTGTTTAGGGCTTTTACCCATTTTTTTATTGGGCTTTCTGATTTTTTTAAATTTATTTTTCTGATATTAAGCTATATGAGTTGCTTATATATTTTGGAGATTAACCCTTTGTCAGTTGCTTCATTTGCAATTATTTTCTCCCATTCTGAGGGTTGTCTTTTCATCTTGTTTATAGTTTCCTTTGCCGTGCAAAGGCTTTTAAGTTTTATTAGGTCCCATTTATTTACTTTTGTTTTTATTTCCATTAATCTAGGAGGTGAGTCAGAGAATTTTGCTGTGATTTATGTCAAAGAATGTACTGCCTGTGTTTTCCTCTCAGAGTTTTATAGTTTCTGGCCTTACATTTAAGTCTAATCCATTTTGAGTGTACTTTTGTATATGGTGTTAGGAAGTGTTCTAATTTCATTCTTTTACATGTAGCTGTCCAGTTTTCCCAGCACCACTTATTGAAGAGGCTGTCTTCTCTCCATTGTATATTCTTGACTCCTTTTTCAAAGATAAGATGCCCATAGGTGCTTGGGTTTATTTCTGGGCTTTCTATCTTGTTCCATTGGTCTATGTATCTGTTTTTGTGCCAGTATTATACTGTCTCAATGACTGCAGCTCCTCATGTGGTTCTCATTTAGGTTAGCCCCTTCCTCTTTCTTCAGCATGATTAAAAGCAGTAGGTTAAGAATAGAATTTTACAGATATAGAATACTAGTTAGTCCATGTGTATTTTCACAGAATTATGATTTAATTTAGATAGTGTGTGCCATTCAATGCCCAATTTGTATAGTCTCAACAATGTGCAATTGTGTGAAGAAAGGCCATTTGAGAATCAGTCTGAAACAGTCAAAAGACAAGGACATCCTGGGAAAAGAGTATTTTTAGCATTTGAAATAGACAAGGTGTTAACATGCAAAATATATTTTGTACTCTTTTTTTTTTTTTTTTTTTTTTTTTTAAACATTTATTTTTATTTATTTGGCTACATAGAGTCTTAGTTGTGGCATGTGGGATCTAGTTCCCTAACCAGGGATCGAACCCAGCCCCCCTGTATCAGGAGCGCAGAGTCTTAGCCACTGGACCACCAGGGAATTCCCTATTTTGTACTCTTACAAATTGCAAAACCCAATTGAAAATGGATAATTGATATGAATGGTCAAGTCAGAAAAAAGAGCACATATAGAAAGAAAGTTAGCCTCATTATTCATTAGGGAAGGGCAAATTAAATGTTTCCTTTTTTTGCATATCTGATCAGTAAAAATTAAAGATTGATCTCGTCTAGTATTAAAAGGGAGTGAGAAAATGAATATACTTATACATTGTTGATAGGACTATAAGTTGGTAGTGCTATGAAGAACACATTTTGGGGATGTCAATCATAACAATAATATATGTGCATACCTTCTAACCCAGTAGCCCCACTTCCAAAAATGAGATGCTGAATACAAAATGCCACTGTGTATAAATGAATTTTCCAAAAGATTGTTTTTTCATCAGTATGAGAATGGATAAATGCAGTATGGAATGTCTTGCGACATGGAATACCTCACAGGCACATAAAAATATAGCATATGGCAGTTTCTGAATGCACTGATTTGGAAAGATAAGAGTCTATAAGATATTATAAGTGGAGAAAGCAGAGTATCCAAACATCTGAAATTATGCAAATTTTCGATCTAAAGAAGAAAAACACTATATGTATATGTGTCTGTGAAAGTGAAAGTCACTCAGTCATGTCCGACTCTTTGCAGCCCCGTGGACTATACAGTTCATGGAATTCTCCAGGCCAGAATACTGAAGTGGGTAGCCTTTCCCCTCTCCAGGGGATCTTCCCAACCCAGGGATCGAACCCAGGTCTCCTGCATTGCAGGCAGATTCTTTACCAACTCAGCTATCAGAGAAGCCCTCATATGGGTTTGTATATGCATTGAAAACAATCTGGAGGGGGATGCATCCAGCTGTAAACAGTGGCTATTCCTGTTGAGTGGGATTGGACAAGAGTGTCTAATTGACTTTGTAATAATGAGTATGTATTGTTTCTGCTATTAAATGTGTATGTGTGTGTGTATATATATATATAAACTTTATCTACATAGAGAGGGTAAAACAACTAATCTCTAAATAAGCTTTTTTAGCAGAAGTAGGATAACAAATTTTAAACACTTGTTTCAATTTTAATTAGATTTCAGAATTAAAAACCAAAAACCAACAGTTGGATTTGGAAAATATGGAGCTTAGCCAAAAGAATTCTCAGAATCATAAAGAGCTGCAAGAACTTAATCAATGTCTGGCAGAAATGCTAAGCCAGAAGGACAAAGAGCCAGGACACAGTGCATGTGAGGAATGGGAACAAGAAAAGTCTAATCTCAAAGAAGAACTGGAACACTGTAAATTGCAGGTATGGTCTACAGCTACTCTTTAGCCTTTCTGGAGGAAATCCCAATTAAAAAAAGAAATGCTTATATTTAATTTCTTATACATTTAAGTTCTAATAATTAAAACAGTATAGTGTTGGCACATGAGTAGAGAGATGAATAGAAAGTCTAGAACTAGACCCAGGTACAAATGAAAACTTAGTATATGACAAAGATGGCTTCTCGAATCACTGGGGTACAGGTGGACTTTTTAATAAGTGGTGCCCGGACAACTCAGTAGACATTCAGAATTAAAGTCAAAAGACAGCTCATAAACTGGGGGAAAAAATATTTGCATCCCATACCACAAAGAGTGGGGCTAATATTCCTACTATGTAAAGAACTCTTAAAAACCAAAGAACTTAGGATCAAAATCTGATAGCAAAATGGGAAAAATGCATGAACAAAATAGTCACACACAAAGAAAAAGAGATAAAAATGGCTCTTAAACCTATGAAAAAATATTCAAAGTTACTCAGAATTAGAGAAATGCAAATAAAGCAACACTGATATCTCATTTCTCACCTATGAGATTGGCAACAATTTAAAAATATAATAACATATTCTATTGGCAAAAGTTTGGAAAAACAGGCACTTTCATACATTGCTGGTGGGATATAAACTAGTACTATATTTCTGGAAGGAAATTTGACAATATCTAACAAAATTATATATGTACTTACTTTTATGCTAGCAATCTTACTTCTAGGAATTTACCCTAAAGATATTTCTCCAAAAATATGAAAATTCACATGCACAGGGTTGGTTATTCATTGCAGCATTGTTTGTAACTGCAAAATATTGGAAACAGCCTAGATGTCCACACATAGAGTTGTTGGATAAATGTGATGGAGTCACACCATGGAGTAGTATTATACAGGTTTTAAAAAAAGAAAAATGAATGCAAAAGATCTCTTGGTATGAAATTATTTCCAGGACATACTGGAAATAGGTGAAAAAGGAAAAGCTGAAAAGCATATCTAAGCATCTCTCTAGTATGTCTCCAACCATGTAAGAAAGAAGAGGATGTTAGACAATACACATGTATTTGTGTAAAAGAAATACAGAATTTTTGGAAATGAAATACAGGAATGATAAACCAGGTAACTAAAGAGATGCTTCTGTATAGGGGGCAAATGGGAAAGGAATGCAAGAGAGGAATGGGAATGTGATCGCAGGGATGAGGAAGGCAGTGACACTTCTGAGAACCTTTTCATATAGTCTGATGCTTAGAACCATAGTCATGTTTCACATACTCTTCACATATCCCCTCAAATAAACAAGCAAAACCAATCCAGAAAAGAAAGATCAGGGGAGGGGGGAACTAAATGGAACACAAACACTAACAAATGAACCTAACAGTATTATGAGTGGATAACATAACCATGATGTGGAAGAAAAGAAGTAATTTAGAAATTAGTATTTTGACTGTACATGGTAAGGTTAAGACAAAAGGAAGTGAACATAAATGCTACAGTAGTCACTAAATGTGTTTCTCATGTGGGTGTATGTTAGTGATTCTGGAACTACTCTCTGTATACCGGAATTGAAGAAATAAATAAATATATTGTAGATAGTAAGAACTGAGTTTCTCATTTTGGGACAAGGAGGTTGGAAGTGGGGAAACTAGGAAGGCTAAAATGAACCTTCTGATGTTGGATTGGAATTTGAATTAATAGAACAAACTCATTATTTGTTTAGTATATAGGCAGATACAGAAATGTAGATGTGTGTATATGAATGGAGCACCCAAATATTGGTTTCTGAACACTGTTCTCCTATGTGAGAAACCCGGGCTTCTTGGAGAGATGATTGATCTTAAGGCTGGTGAAGGGTCAATTCAAGATAAGCCTGGAACATCTCACGGTGCCAGAAAGAAAAAGGTGCCCCGAAAAAAAATGGGGCATGTCAAAAGGACAGGACACAACCTGAAGAAGCTCCTAATGGCCAAAGCTGAAATAATTTGATCAACAAAATAAAGCATAGCACAAAATAAGCATAATTATAAAATACAGAAGAAAATGAATATCTATAGGTCCATATGTTATAATGGAATAGGTTAATAAAGGGGAGAGAAATAACAGATCGTCCTTACAATAGAATTCCAATTAATAAATGTAGAAGGAAGGAAGGAAATAACAAGTCTTCATTAGGCAAATACCAAAGTAGTAATTGTCAATAAAATCCACTGATAGACACTAAAATTAATAAGCAAATGCTTAAGGAAAAACAGTTTGCATCGTCTCAAAGCATCTGCCCGCAGAGAAAGATAGTAACTTTCCAGTGGAGAATCTTCAAATGCAAACTAAAGAAATCATGTTTATACCATTTTAGTGGAAAGTTTTTTAAAAGATAGTTTTGGTTAGTTCCATTGAGTATAAGGACAAATTATCTTAAAACAGTGTGTCATTGAGTATGTACTAATTTTTCCTTAATGCTGCCTTTTATGACCTTATTAAGCTTCCCTGGGCTAAATGAGTATGTTATTTTGACTTTTTAATTTTTTTCTTAGTCTTCCTCTTTAGTGTCTTCTTTGGAGGCAGAACTTTCTGAAGTTAAAATACAGACTCACATTGTGGAACAGGAAAACCTCCTTCTTAAAGATGAATTGGAGAAAATTAAACAAGTAAGACTATATGCAGCTTACATGGGGGCAAGGAGATATGTGTGGGAGTCATAGAATAACATGTACCAGATTGTCTTTTTTTTTTTTTTTTTTTTTGGCATTGAGAGTCTCTTTTACTGAATCCTGTTAACTAGCTTCTTGCTTAGTGACGTTCAGGGCTTGCAATACAAGTCTAATTTATAAGAGCTCCTATCACTAATTCTCCAAATGTTGTTCTAGTTATATAACTTATGTGTGTTGTAGGCTGACATTCTATTAATATTACTATAAATGAATCTCAGCCACTTCAGTTTAAGAAATGTGTTGCTCTGCCTTCGCCCAGCCAGGTGTTAAGGTAATATAAATTTGCCTAAGACACTGGTGACTTTCTTGCTAATAACTTTAATAACTATTCACCCAGATTTGTGAGACCCAGGCTCTCCCTTTTTCTCATAGTGAGTTTGAGGCATTTATCTTGGGCAGAAGAATAGATTCTAGAGCATTATGAGGGATGTGGTCTCACCTATGAATTTGGCTTTAAAAAACATATTTCAAAGTTTCAAGCAAAGACCTAATTTTAAGTATAATTTTAAGTCCACCATAAAATTTATATGCTGAACACTGTCCAATTTATTCTGAACTTTTCAGTGAGTACATGAATTTCTCAGTTTCTGCAATCTTGATAAATAATAGGAGAATTTAGTTTTTCCATTTTATTTGTTTCACCGAAGGATTACCTTAATACCATAATATCTTTAGATTATAAAATTCTCTTGTATCTATCCAACCTATGAGCATAAAGGTGTCCTTCTCTGAGTGCTGAAATAGAGTCTGTACCACTGGGCATGTTATGTTTGCATTGATCCCTAGCTGACACCCATAAGTCTTGATTTCCTAATAAGATTGTAGACTTGGAATGCGTGTCTCTTCCAGTGCCTAATAGAGTGCAGGTACCTAATAGGTGCTTTATAAGAACCTTTTCCAGTCAGATGTTGCTGTGGAAGGTATAGCGGTCCTGCCATGGCAGAGGCTTGTCGGTCCATATAAACACTCCAGTTAAAAGGCCCTTCTGTGTTATATAAGTATTCCAGGACTGTTATTACCGAATTTATCCTAATTAACTTGGGCATACTTTTCTCCTTTTTCTTTTTCTGTTGTTCAGCCTTTCAGATGATAATGATGGATCCCATGTCCAAGCGTGGGAAATGTATGTGCTGTGATTTTGCCAAGCTAGGGATCAAAAGAAAAGGAGCAGAGTTGAGAGTAAAGCAGCATGATCAGGACCTCATTTTGGCACATTTTTCTTGCATGTGAGCCCTTTTGCTTCTGGTAGGAAGTTGTTCATGATCCCTGGACTCTTGGATCACAGGAGTAGGATGGTGTCAGCCCATTGTTGCTGCCATACAGAAAGCACATGCTGCTCTGTATGACATAATAATTTCTTGTTCACAAAACAGTTTTGTTTGTATTATCTATTGCACTGAAAAGAAACATGAATAGTATCAGCAGTAGTCACATGACAGTCTGTAGACATCCAAAATGGTACCAGGCTTTGTGAGGGTCTGGGGATAGGGAGGCAAGATAGTGAGTAAAGGAGAAAAGTCCTTTATTAACCAATGCCCAGGTACATAGATTTTCCTTCATCTTTCTGACTTGTTTAGATTTGTAAATTATGTTGAATTTGTTGCCAGTTGAAGACAAGAGTCAATCCTTAACGTCTGTTTTGTTATACTGTTCCAAAAGACCTTCAGGTAAAATGTTAAAGGTGGCCATAAAATCATGACAGTAAATAACTGAAAATTGAAAGCCAGGTGAAGCAGAGGGAAATGGAAAACATATAAACTCTAAAAGTGTAAGAAACTATCAGTCTTTTTAAGGCAGCGTTTGTGGGGGTGGAGACTGCTCCCGCACACCAAGATGTTTAGCAGTATCTGGGGTCACATTTGGTTTCCACACTGGGTATACGAGGCAGGGAGTTGTGCTACTGGAATCTAATAGGTAATGCCTGGGATGTTGTCAACCATCCTACAGTGCATAGGACAGTCCCCCATGACAAGGAATTACCTGGCCCTGAGGGTCAGTAGTGCTAAAGTTGGTGATGAAAAGGAACAAAAAGTTTTTGGTTTATCGTGATTCCATAAAATGCAGAGAAAGAAGCAAGTATGTCCATACCAGCAACATTTTCCTAAGCCAATCAATTTAAGCATCTCCCAAAGTGAAGGGTATGTAAAATGAGCTGAAAAAGACTGATTGATTTATCTTTAAACTTGCCTTTGTGTTGGTTGATACATTATATGTGGTTGATGCCAATTCTGTATTCTTGATTGAAAAAAGTTTTTTTTCTAGTTAAAAAAGAATGAGGAAAATGTTTTGTCATATGTACCCAAGTTAAATTGATGACAGAATGGCAGTATGTTATTTATTTTATCCTGAAGGTAAAACAGAAGGCTGGAACCATTACTTAACAATGTCTGGTAGATTTTTTCCTGAGCAGACATTTAGGCAGTCAATTGGAGAATTGAGAGAAGCAGGGAACATTTTTGTCAAAGTTAATTATAGTCCCCTGGAGTTTATATGTCCTTGGAAATAGATAGGGAAATGGCAGCAGCCATGAAAATGTCCTGTCTATAAATACATTCATGAGATGTGATGGGTGGGCTCATTTGTTTATCCCTTGCAGCTCTGCAGATGTCCTGATCTCTCTGACTTCCAGCAAAAAATTTCTAGTATTCTAAGTCACAATGAAAAACTGCTGAAAGAAAAGGAAGCTCTAAGTGAAGAATTAAATATCTGTGTTGATAAGGTAATAAAAATAAGACTTTACCATCATCATATGGTATGTACCGTAATGAACATTTCTCTAATGCCAGTGGCATATGGGTCCATTGTGTTAGCCTAAAAGTCTCCTGGAACAGCATTTTGCTGGCATTTTGTGACCTTAGAGCTCCTGAAGCCATTAGTTTTTTTCTTTTATTGAAGTATAGTTGATTTAAAATACTGTGTTAGTTTCAGGTATACAACAAAGTGATTTGGCTGTGTGTGTGTATGTACTTCTTTTTTTGGATTCTTTTCCATTATAGATTATTACAACATATTGAATATAATTCCCTGTGCTATATAGTAAATCCTCATTTATTTTATATATAGTGGTGTGTATCTGTTAGTCCCATACTCCTAATTTATCCCCCCCACTCTTCCCTTTTAGTAACCGTGTGTTTTCTATGTGTGACTCTTTCTGTTTTATAGTAATAAGTTCATTTGTATTATTTTTTTAGATTTCACATATAAGTGATATCATGTAATATTTGTCTTTGTCTGACTTACTTCACCTGGTATGATAATCTCTTGACCCATCCCTGTTGCAGCAAATGGCATTATTTCATTTTTTTATGGCTGAGTAATATACCATGGTATATATGTATACCACATGTGTATTTATAATCCATAAAAATTTTAGGATTATTCTAGTTCTGTGTGAAAAAGTCATCAATAATTTTATAGGGATTACATTAAATCTGTAGATTGCTGAAGCCATGATTTTAACAGGAGTCTAGTTGTTTAATATATTATTAAATACAGTAATATAAAGATTGTCTCATTTTAATAATTATTGCTAAATATGTATTACTTAAATATATCACTAGCTTACTTACATATAATATGAATATTATGAATATAATATGATATATATATGACTATAATATGAATTTAATAATGAGAAATTAACAATCTGAAACCCATTACATAGTCACTTTTTTTTCTACTATATTTTCCCTGCCAAGTCCAGAAACACTGCTTTTGTTACATCTGCCTTAATAGGCACTGTTTTCCTATTGTGGCACATTCTTGGGATTTCTAATTGCCTTCCAGCCCTTCATGTCTCACCCACAAAACATGAGGCAATGAGAAAGAAAAATGGAAATCCCCAAAGAAAAGAGACTCTTCAAAATTAAAGTAGAAAAGAGAGTCAAGGAAACATTTGTCTTTTACCGTGCCCCAATCCACTGTGTAAAGAGATGGTACTTGATCTTCTCGGTGTAAATGGAGGCATATGAGTTGAGGCTAGACATGTTTACAAAAATGCTGTTACCTCTTTTCTTTTCCTGAAACAGTTGGCAAAGTCAAGTCTTTTAGAGCACAGAATTGCTACTATGAAGCAAGAACAGAAGTCTTGGGAACACCAGAGTGAAAGCTTAAAGTCACAACTAGTGGCTTCACAGGAAAAGGTAGGTGGACAGTTCTTGTTTCATCCACATAGTTAATTTTTTCCTATATCTTTTTTTTTTTTTCCTATATCTTCCAGGAAACAACGTTCTAAGTGGATGTGATCTAAAAGGGCTCAGAATGATTCAATTTAACTAATATTTGACACATGTTACATTATAATAAAATAATTTGAACAGTGTTTTCCCCAAAGTTCATTATTATGAATTAATCATGAGATTATCTCATCACTGTGAGATTACTTATTTATGAAAGCTTAAGAATAGTGCCCAAAAATGACTTCTTATTTCTAATTTAGAATTAGGATTTCTAAGGCAGGTTCATGCCCTATTATAGTTAAAGATATCTATTGACATATCATTTATCAACTTAATTTTGAAAAATTGAAATATAAATGAGATATTAGCATGGAGTAGGGTTCTACAAAGATATGGTTTTATTTTAAACTGAGAGGTCCTTTGCAAAACTACACGACAGTCTAAAATGTAATTTCTACAAAATTCAGTAAAATTATCTATTGTTACGCCAGCTGGTACTGCCTGGTTCTGTAAGATATCAGTTGGTAATATACCAGATGACTGGACCAGCAATACCTTGCTCAAGGTATATTTCATTATTCTCTTAAATGTGACATAACATCCTGTAAAGATACATAATATCCTGGTTTGCCCTGAGCAACTGAAAAGAGCTGGATATAGTAAGTAGAAACAGAAGGGACTTTGGAGTTCTTTGTCTTAGTTCATTCATACATGCAGATGCTATAGGTGAGACCATGAAGATTTGTCATTGTTCTCCTGACATAGGTTCAGAACTTAGAAGACACCCTTCAGAATGTAAACCTACAAATGTCCCGAATTAAATCTGATCTACAGGTGACTCAGCAGGAAAAGGAGGCTTTAAAGCAAGAAGTGATGTCTCTACACAAGCAACTTCAGAATGCCAGTGACAAGGTAATTTCTTTTCTTTATTGAGGTATAACTTTATATAGTAAAATGCACACAGTTCAGTTTATAACTTACTTTTACACATATATATGTATCTATATATAAATGTGTATTTTACCTAGAAATGTGTGTAGGTATGTTTGTGTTTGTGTAACCACCTCCTAGCTCAAAATAAAGAACATTTCCAGCACCCAGTAGGCTGTCTTGTGTCCTCTTCAGTTGACAACCCCAAGGGAACGACTTTACCTTCTGCCACCATAGGTTAGGGATGCTTGTTTCTGAACTTCACATAAGTGGAACCATAGTGACAAGGTAATTTTTTATATTGTGCAAATCAAAAGACCATGGGTAAAAACATTTTGATATTATAGCAAGTGTCTCATATCACAGTGCTGCTTCATCTGTTTGCAAATAAATTAAGAACAGTATATGTAGACAGCATATTAAAAAGCAGAGACATTACTTTGCCAACAAAGGTCTGTCTAGTCAAAGCTGTGGTTTTTCCAGTAGTCATGTATGGATGCGAGAGTTGGACTATCAAGAAAGCTGAGCACCAAAGAATTGATGCTTTTGAACTGTGGTGTTGGAGGAGACTCTTGAGAGTCCCTTGGACTGCGAGGAGATCCAAAACCAGTCCATCCTAAAGGAGATCAGTCCTGAATATTCATTGGAAGGACTGATGCTGAAGCTGAAACTCTAATACTTTGGCCACCTGATGCAGAGTTGTCTCATTGGAAAAAGACCCTGATGCTGGGAAAGATTGAAGGCAGGACAAGGGGATGACAGAGGATGAGATGGTTGGATGGCATCACCGACTCAAAGGACATGAGTTTGAGTAGACTCCAGGAGTTGGTGATGGACAGGGAGGCCTGGTGTGCTGCAGTCCATGGGGTCGCAAAGAATCAGACACGACTAAGCGACTGAACTGAATTGATGTATGTCAGCCTTGGGTAGATGTTAAGATTTTGTCCTACCATAAAAATTGGTGCTAAATTCAGCTACTTTCTCTCTTGCTGATACTTTTTTTTAACTGTGGTTTTTAAAAAAAAATAATAGCTGTTTCCATTTTAAAAAATGACTTTGGGGCTGAAATTTTTTTCAAAATGAGACTGTACCATTTTTTTTCTTTTTCATGATTTGGCTTGAAAAGCAAAAGGCTTATCTAGTTGTGATACCTAAAAAAAAAATTTTAAAGCATCTTTCAGGATCAAAAAAAAAAAAATCACTGTGGTAGCTTAAAGCATATTCCTGAGTTCAAGCCTCAATTATACGGATGATACGTGCTTTGGATTCTAAAAAAGGATATGATTGCATATGTGAAAATGAAAGTAGAGTTTGGCATGTGAACCCTTTCAAGTTAGCCGTGCATTTCAGAGTTCTCTTTGTGTCCTATGTTAACCAAAAGAATGCTTATATGGATTCAAAGCATAACTTCATAAGAATGAGGTAATCTTTAAGGACACTAGTCTCTATGTGCTTGGGTCCTATATGGAACTGGGACTTGCCCTACAATCAGCTTTGCTATTAGATTCGATAGAACTGTTTTGCCAAAGACCATTTAAAACAGAATTTCCAAACCTTTTTTTAAGATAAAAACTCAAGAATATTGTTTTACTTTTATCTATATATACCAGTGGTCACTCACATTAGAAGACACTCAAAAAAGAAATCAGCTTGTTTTTTAAGGCTTTTCTGTTAATTCTCTCTTAAGAACTGGGCCCCAGAAATAGGCACCCATCCATCAGGATTCCATAACCAACAGCAAAGTCTGTCCTGGGACAAGCTGGATCACCTGATGAATGAGGAACAACAGTTACTTTGGCGAGAGAATGACAGAGTCCCAACCATGGTACAGAACACCAAACCGGAACTCATACTCTCCCGGGAGAAGGTAACTTGAAAAGTTGCACGTGGTAGCCTAGGTTTGTGAGTCAATGTTTGATATGATTGCAGTGATTCTAGGGTAAGGATTTGAGTTTTCTGGTGTGGCAGACTTATTTTAAGAATGTATAATTTATCATTTACTTGCAATATAGTTTTATCATGATATGTTTATATACTATTTTTTGTATAAGCAATTCTATATTAAATCTGTGATTTTATAAATGGAAATTATGTTAACCATATATTCCTCATTCAAATAGGCTAGCCACCAAGACTGGTAGTACAAAAATGGCAAAACTAAATTCAAATCTTGTTGGTTTAACTCCTTGTAAGAGGAAAAGTTGCCCCTCTTTAAAGACGCAGCATTTCAAGGCTAGAATGGTATTTAAAGATCATTTTTTTTTTCAGCTGATGTTTAAATTCTTTACCTCTGCTGAGTGGTCAAGCAATTCTTTTTTTAATTTATTTTTAATTGAAGGATAATTCCTTTACAGTGTTGTGTTAGTTTCTGCCATACATCAATATAAATGAGCAACTATTTGTAACCTATGCTTAAATCTCTCTTTTGAGAAAGAACTCTTAGGAGTCACAGATATTCACTAGAACTGCTACGCTGTGCCAGAAACTCTGCCATCACTAAAGTTGCAGTGGTGAACAAGACTCAACATGGTCACTGTCTTCATGAAACTTAGCTGATGTAAACGCACTGTTCAGGTGTGAACAGTCCTATGCAGAGTCAGAGGAACTGTCACCCCCTTCACTCCTAAAAGTTATGCTTATGTAGGTACACAGGTGCCCACAGATGATGTCTCTTTGCTTGGCGGCCACATTGCTCTATTGACTCCCAGTGCTTTGGCTGAGCCAGAAGTCCCCTCTTCCCTGTCTGATGCTTATAGTGTTGGATCAGGCTAAAAATAGATTAACCTAGAAAGGATCTTTTGAAATTCAAAAAAGTAAGCTTCAAAAATTGGCAGACTTGACTGGAAAAAGCTTTTTTAATACAACAAAACCCAAGCACTGAATAAAAACTTTCATTATGTTAGCTTTTTGTTTTTCCTGACTGGGTGGTTACATTAGCATTTCTTCCCCTTATGCTGGTTCTTGTTAGGTCCGTCAGCTAGAATCCAACCTTCCTTCTCCTAAGCACCAAAAACATCTAAACTCAGGCACTGTGAAGCCCACAGAGCAGGAGAAGTTGAGCTTAAAGAGAGAATGTGAACAGTTTCAAAAGGAGCGATCTCCTGCGAATAGGAAGGTGAGTTTTTGAGTTAATACCACATGCCTATATGCTGACTCTGATGCATCCCTAAATGTATGTTTCTTCCCTTTGTGCTTCCAAGGAAATGACTAATGGCATATTTTGGTTCTTCCTTTTATCTGCACTTTTGTCATCTTGTCAAAGCAGTATCATATTCCTTTTTGATTGAGCGACTGCTAAAAAGGAGCAATTTAAGTTTTCATAAAGAAGGTGGTTAATCATCTTCATTAGTATATAAGCCTTTGTAAATTAGTAAAACATATATACCTGAATATTAGGAACATTTTAATTTGGCTAACTATTGCTGTATAATAAAAAGACAAAACATTCATGTCTCAGTTTCTGTAGGTCAGGAATTTGGAAGGAGCTTAATGGAATGATTTTGGCTCAGGGTCTTTCCTGAGGTTGCTGTCTAGATATTAGCTGAGGCTGCAATATCCGAAGGCTTCACTGATGCTGGAGATCATCCACTTCCAGATTTATTCAGATAATGTGTTAGGAAGAGGCTTCTGTTTTTTGCTGACTGATTGCCAGAGGCTCAGTTCTTCATTACCGGGGCCTTTTCTCAGGATGTGGCAATGAGTAATACAAGAGAGAGATTCCAGAAGACCACGATGGAAACTGTAATATGTTTTATAAACCAATCTCAGAAGTCACACAACATCACTTCTGTATTCTATAGGTCACACAGACTAACTCAGGTCTAGTGGGGTCAGGGGACCAGGCAAGGGTGTGAGATAGGGATCACCCGGGACCCGCTTAGAGGCTGGCTACCACATGGTTAAACCTCTGTAACACGATTCCATTTGCTTTGTATTCTTTGTCCCATGAAGTTTGAGTTCTAGACCAGTGTTATTGTGGGAGTTCTTGTTACTTGTTTTCCTTTCTTTCTTTTTCTAAACTAAAACTCAAGAGTTTTCACTACAGGCACAGCTTGGAGATATCCCGGGTTCAGTTCCAGACAACCACAATAAAGTGAGTCACACAAATTTTTTAGTTTCCCAGTGCAAATAAAATTATGGTTCCATAATTATGTCATTTAAAGTCTAGGTTATATTCAAGTAAACGTTTCAGAAAGATGTTGGGTTTCATCCAGCTGCTCACCAAGGGGAAAGTCTAATGATAGGTTTTAAAATAACGATGAATTTAATTTAAGTGCGCCTGGAAAGCGTATGCTGAATTCCATTTAACAGTTCTTACTACCCTCCTCAGCTCTTTTGATGGAGGCCAAGATTAGCATTCTAGAATTGTATCATATGTTTTCTACTTAGCAATATTCTGAATCCTTGAGTGTCCTCTAGCTCATTAGATTCTCATAAGATCCTGTACCAAAGAGAATTCCAAAAGTGGATCCTCATAAAATTTTCAAATTTCTCTTTAAAATTGAGAAAAAAGTTAAATAGATCAGGTTTTGTGTACTCTGTTTTCAGACATTTTTCCCTACTGCAGATCGATAGTAGATGATCATGATATCAGTTACTGAAATACCGCATTTAAAAACATTTTTATTATAGTTTCTTTACAATGTTGTGACAACATCTTTAATAAAATATACTATAAAATATCAGAGTGCGTGGCTTATAGTAGGGATAAGTATTATTTCATGGAAGTTTTCTTTTAGTGATATATACTTAGAACTGATTATGCATGTATATGTACATGTTGGGGGGGTGGGGGTGTACTGGGTTGCAAGATAAAATGTATTTTGTACAGTGAGTGGCATTGAAGTTTGAAAGCTACCTGCCTTAGGACTCTGTTCTATGTGAGGAGTGGTGATTAAAGCTAGACTACTTAAATATAATCAGTGCACTGAATTATTTGTTCTTTTCCCTTGATGAATGAACTCAGCTTTCTTCCAAGAGTTGAGATTTCTGATTAGTGTAAATTTTTCAAAAAAAATAGAGCAATTCAGGTTGTTTTCTTTTTTTTTAAGGGAGTTTTATGTTTTTCAACAGGTTAGTCAGATAAAATCCCTTGAACGAGAATTAGAAACAATTCATCTGGAAAATGAAGGCCTGAAAAAGAAACAAGTAAAACTGGATGAACAGCTAATGGAGGTAAGTTTTTAAGGCAAATGACCTTAGCTATGAAGAATATTTTAATCCATGAATGACCCATTTGTTGAGAGAGGCTAGCATAGCATTAAATTCCTGTTACGAAAACAGTGAAAATCTAAGTACATTGCCAAGCTGGGCTCTTTGGTTTGTCTTACCAAGTTTGATAGATATTTTTGCTAATTACACAGCTGTAGGAATATATACTGCTTCACAGAAGAAGGAATAATAATAATAATGTTGACCATCCTAAAATGCAAGGACCTGTGCCTCAACAAATTCAAGTGGCAGGGACTCTGTCCAGTACTAACCTAGAGGTTCAGAGCTCTCTCACCAATGCTGTGGTTTTAATAGTTTCCTGATACCTCCCCCAGTATAGTGTTTTATAGATGTGATGTGCTCTGTTACAACCTATTCAGTTAGGAAGTACATTCAGGGAGTTTAAGAGCATTAGCATTTAGACATTTAATTTTCAAGTGTTGCCATTGTTGATTTCTACATTTGTAACTCAGCACTGCCTTGGGAGGGGTACATCTGTTAAATATAAAAGTGGATTTGTAAAACTTGTCATCTTGGACATTGAGTTTCTAGTCTAATAGATTGCTTTCTGAACACCAAGTGCAATTATAGGGTGTAAAACAATTTATGTAAAATCTCCCTTAATAAGTAAAAATTTCATTGAGGTACTTTACTTTGGGTAATAAAAATATTAGTTAGTCCAGCAGTTAATGTCCTGTAACATTATTTAAGGTAGAGAGGTATGGGTAGAAAATCTTTCTGTGCTCCTAAAAGTTCTGTGTATACAAATATTTTAAAGCCAGAATTATAGGAAGAGAGATATGTAAGTATTTTCTTTCATGAAGCTGGACATATGCAAAGATAAGTTTCAATAGATGCTTGGTTTTTAAATATGAAATATGGGCAAACATACCGCATTTACATTTAAATAACCACTAAGATTTCTGTCAATTTTATGTTCTCTGATTTATCTACTAATAGGGAGATTAGTGACACTATAAAGAATGAAATCCAGACCATTTTTGCTTTTCCTTCTGCATATAATAAATGTGTTTATTAAAACTTTGAGCTGCAGTCTGTATTTAGATGTAGATATGCTTTTCTGATGAAATAATTATATACTCTAATGAATGAGAGATCTGAAGCCACACATGACATGTCTAGTACCCAACTGGAAAGTAACAGGGTATATTTAATCACTGTTCGATCTTCTCCAAATGCTCTTCCAACAGGCTGTGTCTTCTCCCACCTGCTCTCTTTGGCCTCATATGCCCCCTTCTCTCCCAATCATATGTTACATGATTAGTCATCATAAGCAATTTCCCCTCATTACTTTTCCCCCTGATCTGGTAGTAAATATTTGGTAATGGATGAGGGAAATTGAGTGTTCTTGGCACTGGAGCTGAAAAACGAAAAAGCGTGAATTTTTAATTGGAACACTGTAAAGAACATCTCATACACTATTCTAATGAAACTTCCATTGAAATAAGACTGAGCTGTGAACTCTGTGCAGACATATAATTCAATTCTTTAGCAGCTTTATTAAATGTAATTCACACACTACACAATTAATTCATTTAAAGTGTCTAATTCAGTGATTTGGGTATATGACATTGTGTTTTAATTTATACTAAGTGTGTATATATATGTGGAAATATATATACATATGAATGATTAAAATGGCAAATTTTGTTAAGTGGCATTTAGTGGCATTAATTACATTCACAATGTTCTACAACTGTCACCACTGCTTCTAAAACCTTTTCATCACCCCAAACAGAAACTCTAACCATTAAGCAATAACTCTTCATTTCCCTTTCCCACTGGACCTATAAATTGGATTTTTATTTATGCTGTGCTATCTAAAGATTAGGCCAAATTTGAGGACGTACAGTGGTTTTTCACACCATTTTTTTTGCCCAGCTCATCAGGGGATAGGTACATTCTTCTCACTCCAGCATGGCTTCTCATCAGGTTTGGGGGAGGGGCAGTAGGCAGGCAGGGAGATATTCCTACATCAGAATCTTTGGTATCAAGGAATTTAGGGAAAGCTTTCTAGGTGATTCTATCTGATGTATGCACTCCCTTGGGGGAAGGAATTTCTTCTCATCCCTATAGGATAGTTTAAAATCACTGATTAATATAACACATACCCTTACCCCAGGGCAATTAAAGATCCCAAATTATTAGACCAGGAAATGGAAGAATTTGCCTCCCACTCCATGGTTTTTTCAACTATATGAGGCAAAGTTCTATAAACAATTTGTTTTGAACACCTAAAAAAAAAAAGTTACAGACTGTTAGCAGTTCTTATAGTCTGATGTGTACCTCTGATAGCCAATAGTTCAGACACTTGAACAACAAAAATGTTTTGTGGTTTATATCCTGCATCTCCACAAGGCAAGGTATTTAACATCAGGTCTATTCCATACTGCGCTTGAAATCTTCTAAATTATTATATTGAAATGAATGGAGGTAAAGAAGCAAGCTCATAAACCAACCAAATTACAATAGATGAGGAAGTGGCTGCCAAATTAAGAGCTGACATTTTAATATCTGTAAAATTTATATACAGAGAACTGTAAATGTTGGTCTTTTTAAGTTCCTACTGACTAGAGCGTATGTGTTAAGGTATGTAGTATACCCTGTTTTGTGCTGTTCTTTCTCTTTATAACTCATATTTTCTTCCTCTTTTATAACTCCTGTAATTCTCTTTTTTGTTTTATCTATGGCTAACCTGTACCTAGAACTCTGTGGTTGGAACTAGCAGAGAAGGGTGCAGTTCTCTGCCTGAGATAGTGTGTGAAGGTAGAACATTCTCTTTCAATGAATTTCATAGCATGGAGACATCTCATTAAACCCCTTATTCATGTAATCATTTCTACTACTATGACAGTTAATACATACTTAAGAGCCAATATTCAAATTCATTTAATTCTGGACTATATCTGTTTACATTTCCATTAGGATTTTTTTCAGTATTTAAAGATGTGGTGAAGAAAATCATCCCACTGATACAAAATCAGGGGATCATAAAGTGGTGGGTTTTCTAAATCTATAACTAGAAATATTTCACAATGGGTAATACCCCACCTCAGAAATTTAAATTTAAGGAAATGGATAGTGGCTCTGAAGTTTCATGATAACATTTAATTCTAGAGGGCCTTTTTCCCTTCTCATATGCCTGGGGGTGCTTCCTCATGAGTTTAGTACTTGGTCATATTTGTTGCATGTCTTCCATTGAGCTCTGTGTCTACTGAATGTGTCCACAGATGTGAAGTGGCATGCTTCACTGACCAAATGCAGTGCCTTCTTTCCCTTGCCCCACATTTGATTGGCATGTGATACACATACCATTTCCTCATTGTCTTGAATAAATCCTTTCATTCCATGTTACTTCGATTCCCAAATATTCTGGAATATCACCTTATGTCCTAGAATTGCCTGTCTGATAAACTAAGATAGATTAAAATAATTTGATATGCAAGATGAGATTCTCAAAACAAATTGCTAACTTAGAAGAAAAGTAGTCATTGGACTGCTTTTAAGAATCTTTTTGGGGAATTCCCTGGTGGTCCAGTGGCTAAGACTCTGTGCTCCTGATACAGGGGGGCTGGGTTCAATCCCTAGTTAGGGAATTAGATCCCACATGCCACAACTAAGACTCTATGCAGCCAAATAAATAAAAATAAATGTGTTTTTTTTTTTTAAAAGAATCTTTATGAATGGTAAGTGGCAAAACTCTAGAGCATAACCTCTTTCTACCCTTTGCCTATTCCACCTTTTTTTTAGAGGGATAATTAAATGTTCTAGTGTAGGAAGAAAAAAGGAAAATCCAGACATACGTGCACCATGTACCTCATTTTTATTGTCGCTTAAGATTGAGGAAGTACAGTGTAAGTCTAAAACTTTTAAGGCCTGCTTATTCATTAAATGTATTACCTCCTAAGCAAAATGATTTTTTATTTTTACTTGGGATCATGTGCTGCCTGTTTTCAAGTTATCAGTAAGTCTGAGAGGCCATTAATGAATCCATAGACTTCCTTTCTCTCTGCCTGCTACTTTCAAGGCAGCTCTGTGACTGAAGGCATGGTAGCTGACTAGGGCTTTGCTCTTATTCTCCAGATGCAGCACCTGAGGTCCACTATGATGCTTAGCCCATCCCCTCATGCTTGGGAACTGCAACTGCTCCAGCAGCAGGCCTGTCCAGTGGTTCCCAGGGAGCATTTTCTGCAGCTTCAACACCAGCTGCTGCAGGCAGAAAGGATAAACCAGTGCCTGCAGGAGGAACTTGAAAATAGGACTTCTGAAACCAACACACCACAGGTATGATCTTTTTCTAATAGTAAACGCAGATCACCTAGTTTAATTTTACCTATTTGGAAGTTACACCAGTTCAAAGGTGGGGATGAAGAATGTGTCTTTTGTCAGTTACACCTTACCTGTATTACAAATCCACAGAAGTGCAGTGCTGTTTGGGCTTTGGTCTTAGTTTTTTTGCAGTGCTACTTTTGAGCTCTCAGCTGCTAAGCTGGGTAATTAGGAGTTCTGGGTCTCGTGCAAGTTGCTAAGCGATGATGAAGTGTCAGGCTCACTTGAGCATACTGTGCAATTGACTTAACACTCTTGTCTGATGCCAAAAATGTTACAGAATTCAAGTGCAACTCTAGGATATGTATTACTAACAAAGCATCCTGGGTTTTCTTGTACTAGAGGGGTGTGGCCTGCTAAGTTCCTTGGAATTCACAAATGGGGACTTTTCACAACTATTAAAGTAGAATGTGTCATCGGTGACTTTTTTAAGTTGACATAGTTCGTTTAGCTTATTTTTTAAATGATCTAGTTTGAAAAGCTATTTTTAAGAAAATAAAGATCTTCCTCTTCCCTTTGAATTAGCATTATCCTAGCTCACTACCAGACACAATCTTATATTACCTAAGTTTTCAAATAGTTAAATTTTCTTTTTAGTGCTTCATTCATGATTCTCTTCTTTCAGAAGTCTCTTAATTCTTCCTCAGAATTAGGAATAAAATTAAAAACACTCCTTAATTTGCAGAATTCTAGATTAGTTAATTCTAGGTTGGATAACTCTTCTGTTTTCAAAATTTACCTTGCCTCTCAGGTGACATTTGACGAGGAATTTTCCAACTCTTTTTCTGTAATCTGGTCACAGTTGCTTTGCAAAGTCATATTGGCACCATAATTGTACATTGGAGCAATTTTGTTTTCTTTGCCTACTAGTATATATCTATCTTTTGCATGATGTAGTCGTCATCTGTTCTTTCTAACAAAGGCTTAAAATCCATGTTTTTGGAAGCTTCCTACATTCAATTTCCAAATACTAAAAGTTAATTCCAGAAGTAACATTGTGATGGTAGGTATTGGACAGATGCTTCAACTCTTCATTATAGAAGTGAATCATAAAACTTGACCTCAGTTTTTAATAGACATTTTAAATCAAATGATCGAACTAAGATCCTACTCATTACTCTCTCATATATACTACTTTTAAAACATGCTCCTCCCACCCACCTACCAGTGTTTAAAAGTAAAAAGTATCCCTTTACTTCAATTACTTGAGGATTAGATAGACAAAAACTGTTAAGATTTTGTATTTAAAAAGAGAGAATTTTTCCAGCCAGATGGCAGAGTGGACTGCTTATTGCTCTCACGAGAAGGTGCTGGCAGGCTCTCTCTGTTTCTGGTAACTGAGCTGACACCGATTTTAAGAATACAGAATGTTGTTAGAATCTGCATGTTGTCTCTGCGTGTGGAGTGATGTGATTTCGTCTGCCTTGTGTTGCTCCGCTTGCATATGTAGTATTGATGTGTGCTTTTAAAAATTGTTTGCATTATAAATGTGTGAATTTAGATTCCCCCCAAAAGCATAATCTTGACATCAGGGTGAAGTGTACCACTTGCCTTCTTTCTCTAGGCCTTGCTACCGGAGCAGCGAGCAGTGCACGCAGATTCCTACAGAAGGATTGGGCACCTGTGAAAACTGGGCTGTTATTGATGGCATTTCTTACCATGGCAGATACTCAAATGCACACACCCACACACACCACACAAATATAGACATAAGCTGAGAAATGTTTTGGAAACAAGTGCTCTTTTAAGTTTTATTATTATTATTAAGCCTTTGCAGTATTATGTTTCTTATTTCTGTGAATCAAATTCACAAATTTCAGCTTGTTACACTTAAAGAGTATGAATTTGAGATTCTTGAAAGGATGTGAATTTTGTGAATCAAATTCACAAATTTCAGCCTGTTGCACTTAATTATTTATACCATCTAAAGAGTGTGGATTTGAGATTCTTGAAAGGATGTATTCTATATATTTTCTCATTCCATACATTGTAAATATTTTTAACAAAAGGTACTGCTTTTATATATGGAATTTAAAGAAAATCAGGATTATTTATACTGTTTTATATATATAAGATGTATAATACTTTTTTGACAGGAAAAAGGAAATTTTTGATGAAATAAAATAAATTTTAAATATATGACTGCTTTTGTTTTTCCTCTTTCCCCACTCTTTTGCCATGCCCCATGTTCTTTGAATTAATTATCCAAGTTTTTGCTTTGTTTTGCTTTTTCTTTTTTTTAAAGGCAAGTGAAAATCTGGCATTTTCCATTTATGTTTGAATTTTATACCTTTTAAAATATAGGATTTTTAGATGCTCTTAGGACCTGGTTTCTTGAAACTTCTACATTCATCTTTTGTCTACTACAGTTTTTATCTTTAAATTAGTTGCATGGCTTAGTTATTTCTTTTATGTTTGAATAAATGCTATTATTTAACACACAAACAAATGTTGGCTTTTACCTCACATTTGGTCATTCTTTGTGTTTTTTAAAGAACACTTTGGGGTATATTTTTAAGGACAGGTTATGCCATCAGCTACTAACACCTGAGTCTTGCTTAAACATTTGAAGAACCTTTTAAAATCTGAAATTCTTTATGTGAACATTTTGGTAGACCGGGAGAAGGGGTAGTCAGTTGCACTCTAAATCTTGTTCTAGGTCCCTCTGTACTCCAAAACCCACACACATCTTAATCCATCACTGTTGTATAAGGAGAGGAGGAGAAGCCAGCATCCTTTTTCTGCCCTATTGTTTCATCTAGGAGCTCTTTATGGGGAGAAAATTTTCAGTTTTAAATATGTTCTAATGATAAGTCCATCCTCCAATTCAGGTATTTGCTCCACATTGACAAGTCAAATTGGGAAACCAATAATTAGAAGAACTAGTGGGAAGAGGCTACTAGAAACACTAACACCCTCACAGTAACCAGCCATTTCGAAAATAAAACAGACACACATACTGCAAGCTGATTAGAAATGTTAGGTGATCCTGAATAAACTCAGGTTTTATTCATTTTGTTGTTGAAAGTCCCACAGTATTGCAAAGACCCAAATCACAGATGAAAGATTGATAACCATCTTTTAATTTACTTTGGATACCTATTTTACTGTAATAAGTACACACAGATCTTAAGTATTGGTTTTAAGACTTTTGCTTTATCTCGGGGGAAGGTGGTAGCACAGGTAAGATTCTTTTTTTTTATCTTTGATTCTTTCTCTGATAGGGTTACCTTTCTAACCTGTGCAACCCATGCAGTGTTCAGAACTCCCATTTCATCAGAAATCCACCCTTGCTATTCAAAAGCAAACATTCGCTGTCCTTTCTTTAGGCCTCTTATGGGGAAAATTAACTACTAGTGCTTTCTCATGGCATGATTTTCAAATAACAATATAATTTTTTTTCTTTTCCTTCAGGGAAACCAGGAATACCTGGTAACTGTCATGGAGGAACGAATGTTGGAAGTTGAACAGAAATTGAAACTGGTGAAAAGGCTTCTTCAGGAGAAAGTGAATCAGCTCAAAGAACAAGTGAGCTTCCCAGGTCATCTCTACCCACCCATCTCACCTTCTGCTTTAACTCCAGTTTTACTTTCCTTTATTGCTACTAACTTGCTAACTTTTATTGTCTAATAAAGGCAAACTCTATTATAAACTCCTAAATTAGAAGAATTTAGGAGTCACTGTTTCCCATACCACTTCAAAAATATGAATTCTGTATTCTACATTGTCTTTTCCAAAGTTCTTTTGAGTCATATGTTTGTCTACAATTTTTTAAATGTATATTTGCTAACAGTGACTCGTGGACCTAAAGCATTTCTAATGAGGTTCAATCCAAATTGAATTTTTATAGATTTTTTTTTGCCCCGAATAAACAGAAATTTTATATTTATTAAAAAAAAATGGGATAATAAGTGTAACTTTAGCTTTCTTGTTTGCAACAACTATGACAGCCTCAAAATCTAACTTGTGACTATAGCCAGACCCCAGAAGGCTGTGTTTTGAATCAGAATCTGGACTCTCAAATTCAGGATCACCAAGTAGGCTGAGCTTTTTTTCTTGCTGGCAGCAAGTGTGGCCTGAGTGCTTATAAATTATTTGTGCATCCACTGAAGAGACATAACAGAAAGGATTACTTTCTAGGGAATTTTATAACCTCTCTGGAATCTGAGATTGAGACAAACTATGGCAGGGGGTAGGAGGGTAGAAACTGCTCAACCTGGATTTTTAGACATGTAGAATCCGAGAAGAATAATCCCAAGGGAATGGTGGACAGGAGCTTTCCTGTGTCCTAAATCTTAATACACAGAATGGAGAGAAAGAGAACGTCCTGTACTTAACATTTATTGATTCAGTCCCTTGCTCATTTATTCAACACCTAGTCATTATATGCCAGGTTCTGTTCCAGGAACTAGAAATACAGCAAAATCCCTGCCCATGTGGAGTGTAGTTCACCTACATGGTACTGACCATTGGCAGTACTTCCAGTAGCAGTCCAAAAACAAAGAAAATGGGTAACATGGGGTGTGGACATCTACAAACACTTTGGCATTAACAGTTCATCCTATTCTGGGAGAAGCAAAAGAAACGAGAGAGGGGGAAAAGTAGACAGTGGAGGGTCTTAGTGCTAAGCCACAAGAGTTTGGATTTTGTTGTGTACTGGATAAGAGTCGCTGAAGTGTTTTATAATGGAAGGGAAAGAGGAAAGGTTATACACTAAAACAGTTTAATAGAAAATGTTAGGTTTTTTTTTGTTTAATAATGTTAGTTTTATGTTAAACTTGGTAGTCACCTAGGTTCTGGGCTTCCATGTGATAGTCTTTAGCATTGCTCTTTGAAACGCTATTATGTAAATTAGTTAGCCAAGCCTTAAGTTTTCTTTATTACCTTAAACCTTCATACTTGTAGATGCATTGCCTGAAACTGCGTGTAAAATGAGGAGTTAAAGGTATAATGAGGGAAAGGGGATTGGAAGATATTAACTAAGGAGACCAAAAATCAAATTATTCTAATACTGCTGAAGAGTGTTCCCACCCTAACCAAGACTATATATTCTAACCATAAAGATTAGAATATCTCTTCTAGACAAGGTTTTATTTTAAAAGGAAGTAACTGCTGAATCTTTGTGTTATAATACATGAGCTACATTTAGTAGTTTGTATGTAGTAGTTATGAACAGGAGACAAGCATCTATTGTTAATAACAGGTAAACAGTTCACAACCTCAGAAATTTAAATTATAAAAGTATTGTGATATTTTTAGAGAATGAATAAAGAAATAATACCTAGGCTGAAAATACCTTCACTTTTGAACCCTCAAATGTCAATTTGTTCTTTTATTAGTGACTTCTACAAACAAATTATGCAAAGAAACAGCCTGGAATAAGTGGATTTGTTTTACTTGTATCCCTGGTACCAGGTCTGATATTAAAGCTGTATTGTAAAATAAAAGAATATAACTGATAGAAGCCATTTGCCTTTATAAACAACTGTCCTTATGTCAGATCTTTTAAAAGAATAACAGAAATGGAGTCAAGATGTTTCTGGTTCTGTTTCCAGCTCTGCAAGAATACCAAAGCAGATGCAATAGTGAAGGATTTGTATGTGGAAAATGCCCAGTTGTTGAAAGCTCTGGAAATGACTGAACAGCGACAAAAAACAGCAGAGAAGAAAAATTACCTCCTAGAGGAGAAGATTGCCAGCCTCAGTAATATAGTCAGGAATCTGACACCAGCACCACTGACTTCTACACCTCCCTTGAGGTCATAACCAAGCCAAAGGATGAACACTTGTAATTGTGCACTTTACTGAAATGGATGGGACATTTCAGATGTTCTCTCAACTGTTGTTGTTGTTGTTTTCTTAGAAACCTTTAGTGGCTTAAAGTTAAGCCTAACCTAAAACTTCCAGGAACAGAATTAAAGTCTCTATTCACTGTAATTAGTTTTTCTAAATAGACTGTAATGGAAGTTGCAAACAAACATTTATTTCACTGAACTGTTCCCAAGCTTTGAGGTTTTAAAAAATATTCTAATAACCATCAAGCAGGTGATATGAAAACAATTCAAGAATTTTAAAACCCCAGTTTTGAATGAGTTTTTCAAAATTACTATTATGTACAAGTTGTTATGTAAATTGCAGATTTTTTAAAATTGAGATATTATTAATTGGTTGTTTTGATCTTTATTTTAAAACAAAATGTATGTCTTCTCATACACTTAAATATGGAAGAGTCATTCTATTTTTAGTAGTTTGGGTTTTTTAATTGTTAGACTTTTTGTTTGGTAACAGAAACTAGAGTCAATAACCACTGAGGTCAGAAAAGGCAGAATTCATAGAACTCTACCTTCTAATACCTATGACAGTATTACCACTCTTGATGTCTTATAGATATAAAACTCATTTACTCAACTGCACTGTAAACTAATGTTAAAACTTTACTTTCTTTAAACAGTCTTTTTTTTTTTTTCCTTCTTAGAAGTTTCTTTGGGAGTTTGTCTTCTAAGAAATGGATAAAGCCACATTCTTAAAGCATTTGAACTATAGGGCAAGCACTGAACAAACAAACTGCTTTGGAGTAAACAGCTAATCCTGAAAGAGAGAGGAAGCAAGCCATGTGGATTTTTCTCTCTTTAAGGTCTTGGAGTTCATGAACTTATATTTGGAGTTGCATCAAGAACTCAGGGAACAATAGTTTAAGTCATCTTCCTGAAATACTGTAGGGCTCTTTAAAAATTTGAAATGTATAAAATATGTGACCTTATTTATTTGTTGTATATTTAGAGCCATAATGGGATTTTTATTTCTACATTTTTAATGAATTTACTCTTCTGGGGAAAGGGCCTTGCTTTTAGAGTTAAAAACCTCTTTTAACTTACGGAAGAGTTATTATTTGCTTGTTTGTTTAATGTGGGTCAAATTTTCCATGCTTCCTATTCCTCTGTACCTTGAATCTGATCACAAGAATTTCTTACTGTAATAAGAACTGGCATGCCTTCTGAGGTAAAGGAGCACCAAATAGGATTTTCCAATCAGTCTCAAGACTAGAACATTATAGAACAGTAAACGTTTTGAATAACTTTTTTCCCCAGATAAAATCCCTGCTTCTAGCCTACTTCAGCGAGGAATTGGTTGGTAAAGAACTTTGTGTGTGGGATGCAAACAGACCTTATCACAGCCACCTATTTGTTTTTGTGGAAGGGTAATTAGATCACAAAAATCCACTCTGCTCTATTCCAGGAAAGTCAAGTCCATCAATTTTTTTATAAGAGGTATCACAGCAAAATCAAACACTACCTTTGGGCAGGAACAAAAGGCAAAGCAAACTGCTAATGAAAGCTCTATTATCAGAAATTCCTAATTTCCCCCTGGAAAAGAATTAATTTTAATCCCTCCCTATAGTTATATTTAAAAACATTTGATATCTGCTGTCATACCTTCCATAATCATTTTTCTCCAGTGCAGACAGTACTAAACTCAACTATTTATGCAGCATTGACTTCAACACTTAAAACTGTAGCTAGGCCTAGGTTAAGATCATGAATAAACTAAGCACCTGTGGTGTTTTTATGTGATATGCTTTAAGTTATTCAAGGCTTTTGCCATCAGAACTGAACACCAAGCATACTTCTCAAATAGATGGCTTACCATATGATCACATATGTTGTATTTTTATCTTTATTTTTTACATTATGAAAAGTATAGGTTAATATGTTTATTTCTTATAAATCTGTATTTATATGTATATAAAGTGCTGTACAATGAGTGTAAATATGACTTCTGGAAAGTTTTAGACAACATTTAGAATCCCTTTAAAATCAAAATGCTGCTCAAATGAAAGTTAATTTAATATCTAGGTGCTTACTTTTTGTTTTACTGAACTTATAAGACTGGAAAAAAGATCAACACAAGTAGAGTTACCTTAAATTTATATATTTGTGCAGCAGATTATTTTTGTAGACTAGAGTGGGAATTTAACTGGCAATTTATAATATAGCTTACAGCTTTTAAAAAACTTTTAAAGAGATTAAATTTAAACTATTAAATATTTAGATTTTGCTTTCAGACTTTATAATAGGACTCCTTAAAATCATGTTATATATTTTATAGGCATTTAATTCCTAGTTTATTAAAAGTAATGGTTGTTAAATTCATTTGATTTAAGAACAGTTAGTTAAATTAGTTTTAGGAGATTGGATCTTCATTTCAAGGAAAGAGAATCAAGTTTGCCATTTTGATAATATGTTACCCTTAGAAAGGGAAAATGTGAATAATAAAACCTACATTGTTCTATTTTGCTTTCTTCTGCTTTTTAGAAGCCTGAGCTCTTAAGCTCAAATTTGTAAGGTGAGAAAAGTGGATGGGGAGGGTAGAACCAACCACAGTATTTATTTTTCTAAAACTTAATAAACCCAGATTTTTAAAAACTATTGTAAATGTGAATTCTTCCCAGAAGCTTCAAATGCATTGTTTATATATTTAACCTTAAACATATGTAGATCACAAAGTCATAGGCTTTCAAGGTATAGGAGGAGTTCTTACAGGTCTAGCATTTTGATAATGTACCAATACCCAGAGTAGGTATTATGATGAGGAACTTTTGTTTTTTTTAAGAATGAGTAAAACTTCAACGTGTGAAAATGAATTTTTTATTTCTGTGATTTCTTTTTTTCTGAGTGACGGAAAAGAGAAATGTGTTGCTATTGTCAGCATCTTAAAGATATTCCCACTCAAGGTAAGGCTAAGTGCTTTGTGACAGTATTGTCCTGTTTTGAATGGATTACCAAGTGACTAACTGAAATTATATAAATTATGAAAGTAATGCCAAAACTAAGTGAAAACCTAATAGCCAAAGCATTCGTTACTTAAAAGTTATTAATTATATCATGTTTGGACCTATTTGAACATCTCAGCCCTATAAAACATTTTTGGTTTTATGACATATGGATAGCAGTTTAATAATAAATCTATCCAAGTCAGCTTTTCGTTTCTCAGTTTTTTTTTAATGATATACATTAAATCTGTTCTTATTGGAAGACATTATCACAGCATGATTGAAAGGAACATTGGTTTTGAAAAGGAAAACCTGAGTTCATCTATAGCCATCGCTAGAATTCTTTTCATGTAAAGATAAATGTGTGTGTTTATATCGACTTGGTATATTTCATCTTATTCATTCTATCCTAGAATTATTTTACCATGATCTTAAAATGTAAATAAATAATTTTGCAAATATGGCCCTTGTTTTCTATACGCCTTAAACTTTTGTAAACAGTTTCAGTATGTTTATCATTGGTTTTTAGAGTGAAAACATCAAAACATTGCATTAAATACATTTTACAAATGCAGAATATCTGGAGCTCCCACTCCAGACTTACTGACTCAGAGCCTGCATTTAAAACCCTGCCCCCCCACCCCCAATCCCAAAATGATTTGTATGTGATCTAGAGCCCTGCTTCTCCATTTCTGTCACAGAATCAATGACTGTCACACCAGCCAGTTTGGGACCCCTGTGGTGGTTCATAATTTACTTCTAAAATCCTGACAACTTCAGGTGAAGCCCTACTTGGGATTTTGGTTGCTTCAGGCATGCATTTATTTCACTTGGCCATATTTATGGGTGATTCATAATTTTCAGTTAAGCTGCTTATAAATGATAAGTTATTTGCCACTACTGGCAAAAAAAAAATTGACCTAAAAGCACATTAAGTTAATAATGCTGAGTACTGAAATATAGAATGGAAATATTGGCCAAACGAGACCTATCTCACAAGCCATGTTTTATTTATGAAGCTTTTATACCAATCTCACACTGCCTGTATGTGACAGGAACTATTATTAACCCCATTTTACAGGTGAAAAAACTGAAAATTAGTGAAGTTATAACTTACTCAAGGCCACACAGCCAGCTCAGTAAGGGACTCAGGACTCATTAGTCAGGCTTGTCTGTTCTAGTATTTTGCAGTGTGACAGGTATCCATTTCTCCTTCTGGCAAACAACATTTAATTGGTACAATTAACTACCTACCATGTGCATTGCTCTCTAAAGAAAAATATAAAAACTATTGATTTTCTGTTTATAAACTGGGGTAGAGTAGTGAAACTTATACACACACAAAATAAATAGAAAAAATTATATCAGTATGAGAACAATCCAGTTTTGTTGATGGACTCAGTGCTACAGGCACTCAGATAAGCAAGATTAGTGTCCTCGGGTATTTTAACACAGAAAATGGGGAAAGTTCTTAACCTAGCATTAAATATAACTCTGTACTCATTGTTTTGTAGTCTCTCATTCATTTTGCATTGAAAAAAGTCTTACTTTTCTAATATATACCTGATATATATTTTCCCATAATAATGATTAAATTTTGTACCAAAGACCAAAATTTTGACCTAATGCAAAATGTCTGTAACCTGTGAAGTTAAATTTAATATAGTTACTGCAAGTCAAAAAAATGTTTATTCTTTGTTTGCCTCATTTGCAATCAGGATAAATGACTAATTTTGAAAAAAAATTGTTTTAATTTGAAATATTAAAAAAATTAAAATTCAAAAAAGGAGCTATAAACTGAATCAGTGAAATAGAGTAGGCAACAGTGTAAAAATAGAACTGGATACCCCTATGTTAAAATAATATTTAATTCTGAGAAATGATGACATGAGATGTACTTTACTAGCTAAGGCAAAGTAAACACTATGAATAGTCCTTACAGCCCAGATGAACATTTACCAATCATTTTTCTTTCCTGTTTGAGTATCTGTCTTTA